CAGCCGGGAGAAAGGTACGTCTGATCGCGTATAGTAGTCAGTACGTCCGCCGATAACAATAGATAACTGGCCCTACGCTAGCCGCTGTGCGCAGTCTGCTTATTTACAACCCATTTCGCCGTTTATATTTGCACGCAGAGATTGGCGTGTGCCGGTCTGCCGTGCATGTCTAGCAGCCTGGAACGACGATATTTATTTGTCTAAAGGCTGTCGTGGGCGCAAGAGAAAGAGAGATAGAGAGAGAGAGAGAGATAGGGGGGGGGGACAAGAGGGAGAGAAACGGAGCAATGCTTTTTTACTTAAATTACTACAGACAATGGTAATATGATAGACGAATGCGAACTGGAGATATATGCCGGGTTCTCTACACGAAATGAATAAAAGCACCGCTTTATATCGTGCAATGTTTCAAATAACTTGGGATTTTGAGAAACTGGAAGCCAGATCGCGAATATTTTGAAAATAAAATCGCGGAAACTTTGTGAAACGCCGAATTCACGAATTTATCGATGGCTTTTCTATATGAGGTTTTTTAACGTGATACGTACGATAGAGATTTTCGTATGCTCGTAAACATGTTGAACAGAGAGTTTATAACGATGAAATTTTTTCATTTTACCCGCTCGAGTATGTCAATGTGGTTACCTGAGATCAAAGAATTCCAAATTGGTATGCGATGCATCCGAACAACAACGATGTATACGCGATGCAGGAATTTAATTCGATTTGTGTTCTGAATGCCGTTCCATCTCGTTCGAATCTATCGTGTACTTTAAGCAAAGATCGTGTCTCTCTCTCTCTCTCGGTTGATACCTCTTCGATCGCATTGAGAAACGAGCGCGAAGAATGAATAGTGAGGGATGAGGCGAACGAGTGGAGGAAAGGGTGGAAAAAAAAGCACGGCCGTGTGTTTCGTAACGAAGGCAGCAGATATTAAATTCCATCGGCAAACGCGGAATCCGCGTGTACTCGGAGCGTCCGAGTTTCGACTTTTGTTTGCGTCTAACGGCGAGAGGCGAGTGCGCGATCGGGCCGCTGCCATTGGCTTGCGTACGCATGAAAAATAGAGCTCGTTTGAGCTGGTAAAAGAGAGAACGCGTTGTTCAACGAAAATCAGACTCCGGCGAACGTGGATACGCTCGAGCGATGCCCGAATAAATTGTGTAAATCTTTTTCGCTCGCTGGAGAAATGGTAAAGTTCTTTCCTCATTGAATCGTATTTCGTACCACTGCCGAAGCACATTTCGCGATATTGTCTTCCTCGACATATTGGTCGATGCATTGAATTGCGTTACGTATTAGGCGATTAAGCGACGTCTCGTCGGCGCTTCGAGACAGTATAAAATCGCGTTATCTAAATTTTGCAAACATTTTCCTCGCCACTTTGCGCTACAAGTCCCGCTTATCTTCATTTAACTTTATTTAACGTATCTTAATAATTACGCTTATATATCAGTTTATGTATATCACTGTGCGTGATTTAAGGGGCTTCCGCAGTGGAAGGAATTTGAATTTTGCGGCCTGATCCGCCCTCGACCACTTCGCCGACGCGCCTCACTGGAAGAAACGTATAATGCGAGATCAGAGTCGATGCATTTACAACAGTTACGGTTTCATTATTAAAAATTGTACAAAGTGTCTTCTTCTGTCCGCTTAATAGATTATCGCTATGTTGAGGATAAATAGTCGGCGGAGTTGATTCGATTACGTAATAATCTATAATAATTTCCACACTTACGGTCTTCTCTCAACGCCAAGGAGAAACGCTTCCTACAGAAAGAACTGTCGTTGTAAATTGATTTATAATATTCAAATCAATTGCCCTTTCAAGTAAATCGAGACGACGATATGTGTACGATATGTCGAATTTTCAATGATAATTCTGAACAGTCTGTCATCAGAGAGATATGTCATTATTTAAAGCATACCCTTTTTTTTATATATAAAATAATTGACTACGCCTTCGTTAAGTGTTAACGATACAATCCCTGTACTTTACGGGGTCTCTCTTTGAGTGAATTTCAAGCAAACACATACAAAAATACACGCGAAAGTTTCTAATTTTACATTTCTTTTTGTAGGAAGAGGTATATATAACGTAGTTTGATTCACGTTCGATCGTGCAGGAAGCTGTAGTCTAAAATTACCGCCACATTATATATTCTTCCAAGTGATTATATATACACCCGCTCTCTGTAAAAGATAATCCTGCAGGATCGAACATTGGGATTTTCTGGATCGTACCAATTACATACATTTGAAAGATTGAACATGGGTATATAAAGAATTAAGATATTTCCATGAAGTATTGATCGCCGGGCCTCGAGTCGAGAGGTCGCGATGGATATCACTCGATATATTCGTTTCGCTAACGCAGTGGCAGTAGTCCTTACGATATTCTTAAATTTATGTGTTAAGTCAACGCCATGTCAATACTAGACTTCACATTTTCACAATTAATCAAGCGACAATCGAGCAAAATCGCGCAAAACGTCCTTGATCCGTCGTTTATTTGTCGTTGTCGATTTGCGGAAATTTAAATCCCGATCGGAATCGTCAATTTTTCATCAGGGCGATGTCTAAATAACGAGAAAAGAAATGCAAGAGAAACAAAATAATTGTTAGAACAGCATAAAGTTTCAAACAATTGACAAGATATTTATCAATAGGCTCTCACGTATTTATTTGAGACGTAATCTTTTTTAACTCGTGTCGCGTTACGAATCTTGCGATTAAAGTAAATTCCGCGAAGGACGCGATGTAAGAAAGAAACTCGAATCCTTTTCCATAATTATTTAATCGTACACATTCATCGCTTGTACGTTCTACTTTTAATTATCTTACAGATCACGAGCATGAGTCTCTTAGCTTGCGCAAGGCTAGGATAGAACAACGTATTACCTAGAACAACGTATCGGGATTTACGCGACGTACACGTTTCTGGACGTCACAGAATATCTCTCGTCGCACAACTATTATTTTCCTTTCGCTACACGTACAGAATCATTCTAACAAGTATATAAGTCTTTCAGTATTTCATACTGACGATAGCCATTTACCTGGAAATGTATTTTACTGCAGGTATGTGTGCTCGAGCAGAGGAAGAAAAAAATGCAGAGAACAAATGGTAATCTCAGAAATTTGATCCTCAAACGAGAGCGTGAATAATTAAGCGCATTACGTCACCATTTATATACGTTTATAGAGAACGTTTAGAGAGCCAATCGGATTTTTATGCGTATGAAATGAAGCAAAACCATTTACCGGGTAAATCGCCCATCTCTATTCCATACTATAAACTTAACATCAGGTCACATGTACTCCTTTTTTTCCCCCCCTAGAATCACGATATATCCGACTCACGACTTTTGCCGAGGTCGTACAACGGGGCGCGAGACAAGTTTCGTGTATCGATAGAGTTAACGACCCTAAAACGATTATGCGATACATCCGCCAATAGAATGCCGGCCTTAGAATGATCTAATAAATTTACATTGTCGATTAATCCTTCAACATTCTTTACACACTTTATATGAATTTATACTGCAACCTCTAATGGTATTGTCAAACATTTATGCACTTGGGCTAAGCGCATCTTAAGCTTAAGAGTAGTTTAAGGGAACTTAACGCAAACTTAACGCGGCTTAAGATTACTCCTTTTCCCGTTACTCTACGAAAAATGCTTCTTGTACGGCGCAATGATTAATTTTACAGAATGTTCCTCTTAACCCATTTCATAATTTTTTTGTGCATTGATAAGCTCCTTGAAGCGACGTTCGTATAATTCTTTCTGCGCGCCACTGTGGCCGAGTGTTCAATTAAAAAGTTAACGAGAAATCGTCGTCCGAGTGAATTGGAGGGAAGGATATTGGTCGTGCAATTAAACGGTTGGATGAACGATAATTAGCCTGTCTTTACATTTGTCTTCTCGATAGCTGGAAAAATAAAACGGCGCAAAGACTACAAGTAGTTTTGTCACTGGGAACACATTGATTAATATTATAATCAATTCGGTCGTATACGCTCATAGATTTTCCTAAAAACAACAACGCGCTTAATTGTCTCGAAAACGCTTAGTGTATATACGCGTATATGTATACATATTTATATAGATCTATATTTTTGGGAAAACAAGTTTCTCTCGCAAACACGTTTATGAAACCGATGTACAAAAGGCCCGAGAACGGATAACGTAATCCCACGTGAAAGTCGGGCGGGCTTCGATCTTGGACAAAGGTCTACTTTGTCTTTTTTTTTATTTATTTCGAGCGTTGGAGTTTAGAAATGACTACGTTATTCGTCCGCGGAAATGTTACGTAGGACGTGCGATTTTCAAGTCCGATCCACGTATATCCCGAACGTGACACGAGTGCCGTTACGGCGGGAATATCATAAGCTTGTTTGCTGACAGTATCAATTTCGGAACAGCGTATGTGCGATTTATCGAACGTGCTCCCCTCGTATTGCCAGCACTAGTGACGTTCCATTTCGTATCGAATGCCGCGGATCAAAATCATAATCTATCCATTTCGATTGCACGAGCGTGGATACGACGCCGTGGATACTCGGTGTCATTACCGCGGGACTATCCGTCAGCGTGTAACTTCTGTAGATTGATATAAGAAAAATGAGCAACGAAAGAGAAGAGGGAAACGAGAGGAAGCTGCACGAGAACAAGCCGGAAGATCGAGTATCTATTACGTTAATTAAGCGTGTATATAAAAATCACTTTCCAACGATACTCTGGGAAAAAAAGACAGCAACCCATTTTGGGGTCCACAATTAGTAATCGAGTTATTTGGATTGTTCGTAACACTTTTACTCTGGGAAAAACCGTTTTTTTCTGTAGTTAAGCAGCTTAACATTTCGGTTAATGCTTCTTAAGTGAAAATTATCTTTGCTAATTGAGAGAATTGATTAGTATTACTTAAAAATCTTGGATATAGATAGAATAGCTAATTGCGATTTTTTTACGCGGGGTAAAATTCGTAAAAGATTAGTTCAATTCAAATAATTCGATTACTAATTGTGGGCCCCAAAACGGGTTGCTAACTGTCTTGCTTTTCCCAGAGTATGAAACGATGTGTGCAAAACTTTAATATTGCAGATTAAAAAATAGCGCGTTTATAAAATAAAAATTGTATGGCTATTGCCAAGCATTCGTCAGATTACGTATATCCCGAGACGAACGTCGAACCGTTTGCAGCGATAGCGGTCTTGCAGTCTTGACTCACGCAAAGAAATGATTAAAAGAAAAAAAACGTGAATTTTGTGAGTTGTAATGTCTGTGTAGTTTGCACACAGACGCCACGGCGACGGTGATTCGAGCGGTTCGTACCGGTTATCGATAAAATTCACGGCACTATTCACAACGATGTATGGCGACAGCAAAAAAGGTGACATATTAACGTCATGAACCGTGAAAAGTTGTTGGCGCGATCGGCTCGTAGATTCTTACATCCTCCTTTCGCACGTGTCATCGTGCGGTATCATCGACGCGGCGAACGCATCCGACCATGCCCGTCGCAAACAATTTACGTTTGTTACAGCCGATTTATGGACCTTCACCCTAGGTACTAACTTGGTCTGACTTGGTCTAGCTTGGTCGATGAGGGGCAGTTCCACCAATTGCCGTTTAACTCGCCGATCATAGAAAGCCGGATGAGGTTCCAGCCTTCCAATTCTCTATATCAAGTATCGTTGGACTCACCGGGCTTGTAACCGAGATTCTTTCGTTGCAGGAACAGGTGGATCTCGCGAAAGTTTGGCCGGTCGACGTCGTTTCTCTGCCAACACTCGCGCATCAGATCGTAGATCTCTTTAGGACAGTTCTTTGGCAGCGGTAGTATCATCTGCATAAAAATAAGCGCGGGTCGATTCCAGCATCAATTATATAATAGATCGCGAACTGAACGTTTTGCATACAAATAAGAAATGCGTCGATGTATTTTCATGTTGTACCAAAATAAAAAGCAGGTTGCTCGCGATCTGCTTTTAATAATAATCTCGTTACAATTTAACGTGGTATTACCGAAATAAACGATGCAGGCACAATAAAAATATTTCGCTCGTTCGTAATTAATCGCAATATTTGTTACGCAATTAATCGTTCGTAAATATTAATGATCTACAAAACCGAGAGAGCGGAATAACAATTCTTACAGTGCGCGTGTTAGTTTGAAGCACTCTCGACGTTGGGGAAAATGAATGCGACGGGCTCGAGTGCAGCGCAATATTTATTACATTATATGAATTACTAAGCAAGTAGTTCTGCTATTTTCATGGAAACACACTCGCGACCTACTTTCGTAATTGCACGTTCGACACGTGCGCGTTTATTTAAGCCTGCTTCCGCAACGATGTTAATTGTCCTACAGTCAGTCGCGAAGAGACGGGTTAGTCCGGGGATACTCTTGAAAGAAGTTACGCAGAAAAAAGGTACAGTAAGAATCTACGGAGTAAGGTAATCAGAAGTCTGAAAGACGGAATAAATAGCGGCGTTCAAAGCCCTGAAAGCTTGGCGAGGCACTCAACGCGAAATCAAGTACTCAGTGCGCTCATTACATTAAGTACGTCGGGCACAATGAGGGAAAGAAGTCCAAGAATTACTCCGTGCACTTACCCTTCGCTCATCCTCTTGATAAAAGTAAGTCGCGTTCTCCACTATTCGATGATCCGGAAACTCCTCGAAGGGCTGCTCCCGCGCGAACGTCAGAATTTCCCACATCGTAACGGCAAACGCCCAGACGTCGCCCTTGCACGTATACCTTCCCTGTACAATGTAAACACGTTCAAGAGAATTTTACGAAAGTCATTTGTTACGTTCGCCAACTCCCGGCAGCTTTTAGTATTGGCGACTTGAGGGCACTCGGGATTCGTCCAACATTCTGATATAATTGAATGAGTTTATTTCACGGTACATGCGCTTGAAATGTATATAACAAAATCGAACTGTTCGATAGTAACTCTTTCTACACCTCGCACACACGTACGTTTGTGCAAGGGTTGCTTACTAAGAAAATAACATTACGAAACACAAGCGTGAATTTTTGTATACACATTTATAAGTTAATATTCGTTACTGGTAAGCCGCAAAAATAATTAAAAGCGCGACTTGCTCGGCGCGGAAACCTAATGTTTGAGCGTGAAGGAGTAATTTATGGAAACTGTATGCGCCTTCGAGTTTCCCAAAGTTCAACCGAGTAACTCAGTTAAGCCCAAGCTTCGCGGAACGCCATAAAGCAGTTACACGATTTTACTCTTTTCCTCACATTGACGGTTGGATGTACCTTCCGCTCCCATTGGCATGCGTATGACCCGTCAAGCAAAATAATTATATGATAAAATATTAACGGCAAGTTACATAAAAGCCTTGGCAGCTGCAAGTTTTAATTAATATCAGCGCTGCAATTATGCAACCATAATGTTCTCTAAAAAGGAGAGCACGGTAAGAATGTATTCTTTATATATAATTATAAAAAGATATGAAGAACTGTAATATTATGTTACAAAATTTATATAATAAAACTCGTGAAAATAAACATTTTGAATTATTCACGAGATTATAGAAAAAGTCACTGGCAGAATGACACAAAGGTAGAATATTAATAAAAAGAAGGGAAACAGAGATCGTACGATCTTGCTGTGCAATAACTTGGAAATTTGAGATCGATTTACGATAAACGATTGTGTACTTGATGTGAAATTACCTCGACTTAAATTACATAATCCCTGCTGCCGGTAGTACGCTGGGAAGATTGCATATGCGTGCAGAGTTTATAGTTGGTGCATGTTCGGGAGGATCTTAAGACATGATTCAATTATTTATGAAGTGCGCGATACAAAATTACGCGCGCATCATTACATGTACATTAATTCAAATTGTTGGAGCTAAATAACGTGCGCGCGATAAATAACGAGGTATGCACAAGCAATAAACTAGTGATAACAATAAAATAATGTTGGTATATACGCTGGTGCACAAAGCAAACGTTCGTCATTTAATACAATAGTAGGGGTGTACTGAAAAAATATTATATCCTATGTGTAATATAAATTAATGTTTTTCTATTTTAAAAATATAGATATATGTTTTATTTTATACTCTCGTTATGTTATATAATACTCCCGTTATTTTACTTTATAGTCCTGTTATTTTTTATTTTATTGCCCCCCCCCCCCCGTAAATATTCCGGATGACAGCGAATTAAACATGGCCGCATGGCGATTTCAACAGACTCTATGACGCGCGATCGTCGAGTGATTCCTGTCACGAAGAACGAGCTCCGCGATCGCGAGATCGTTATAAAGCCATTGAGTCGATTCTAATCCTAGATAATTTTTGAAGCGGTATTTCACGCGTAGGAACGCGATCGTTTCATTAGCGCGGCACAATGGCGGAAGTTGGATAAATGATGGGCAATAATGAAGCATTAATGGCACAGTCAGTTTGAAATTACAAAGCCAGCTAGCTATTCAATACTATATTTCCCAGCCTCATTTCTGTTTCGTCGAATCACCATTTTGATATTAATTTGCCATTACACAGGTACAATAAATATACTATTTCCGCCAATGACGACAAAGAATAGAGTATAATGTAATATCTATGCATAATTAATAGGTATTGAAATGAATTTAATATACTTGGCGTGTAATTATAATTTTTCAGATGAAAGGACGCCCCGTCGTAAACAGAAATGCATATCAGATATGACTTGAAGTAATATACAGGGTGTTTCCTCCTAAGTTGAGCACGTAAAATATCTCAAAACGTATAAGTTCTAGAAGGAAACTTTTCCGACAAAAGTTGTAGGGTTTCGGGTAACGCATTACATAGCGATATCAGTATGACCTTGAATGACCTTTGTCAAGATCATGCGAAGGTCATCTTAAATTTCTTAAATGGAACCCACTATTGTTTATTACACTATCTCATAATATTAATTAATATGAACAATTTTTGTCTGAAACATTTTGTGATTCGCCTAATACTTTTTGAGATATTCAAGAGAAAATTGATAACTTTTCAATTTAGCTTTTAAATTAGCTTATGATACCTCGATAACTGTTTGTCGGAGGGAAGAGTACACTGAAAAAAATTTCTGGTTGAATATGGACGAATCAGATAATTCCTTTAGGATTTACCAGAATTCCTGTAGGATTTACCAGAATTCCTGTAATCCTAAAGGAATTCTGGTAAATCCTAAAGGAATTATCTGATTCGTCCATATTCAACCAGAAATTTTTTTCAGTGTAGTACAGGACTTTTTACTTGATTTGGTCTCAGGAATATGCTGTTGCACTAGTGCTCCAAGTATCGAAAATCTTTGTGTGCGTGAATTTTGTGTATATTACAATACACAAAAATGTTCAATAATTGGAGTACTATTGCAACAGCATATTCCTGAGACCAAATCAACGCTATTCAAAGTCATACTGAAACCCTACAACTTTTGTCTGAAAAGTTTTCTTCTGGAACTTATATATTTGGAGATATTCTACGCGCTCAACTTGGAGGAAACACCCTGTATAATAGGATAATAATGATTTTATACATTCTTTCCTTTAGCAATCTATCTAGTCTTCTTTTCCTTGCGCAATCATTTCACAGGAGACATGTACTATATATTTCCGAAATCGTGCACCGTTAAACGGCTACGTTTATAAATTGCTAATTTATATTTTTAAATCTTCACGTGCGAGAATAATTTAATAGTTAAAGATCTGCAGTCAGTTCGATAAATTTTTCAGTTATCGATATTTCTAATTCAAGTCGCTTTGTACAATCTCTAAATTTTTGAATTAACGTCTGTTGGATTATTAATATCTCGTTTCGTGCAATCAAAATCGTCAGCCGCATAAATATACTATTATGATCGCGTTATTATTAAATACACTATTATCCGACCGCAGCGGCGTTCGACTGTAGCGTGATTACTCCACCGACCCAGGCGCTCTCGTAGCACTTTCGAGCGCCGGCAAAAAGAGCTCCGCTTCCTTCCTCCGGGTCCCCAGTCGGTGCGTATTTTTCCGAATTTTCGCGAAAAGTAAACGCGAGTATCTTCCATCGTCGTCCACGCTGTAACAGCCAGCGGAAACAGCCGTGCTCGAAGCGGAGCCCGCGAAGCGGAACGATTGTGTTTGGATTGTCGAGCGGTTAAGCCGAAAAAGCCGCTCAACATCGAAAATGAATTTCCAAACGCGTATCGCATATTTTCTCCGGCACTTTTATAGCTCAATGACGCGTATCGCGCGCTGCAATGGGCCAAGCTCAATTCGCTAATACCAACGTGACCGCAGACAGCTCTATCGGCCTGATGTCGGGCGGTTTCGCGGATCGACAGTTCGATATTGGCAGCGATAATCGGGAAATTAGAGGCAAGATACATTAAATGAAACGTAAACCTTACTTTCCGTTCGGAAATAATGGGAACTAAGCTTTAATGCGGGAAGTTTTATTCTTAATCTTATAGAAATAACAGACGAGGCTTCGAAGCGTCTTTATTTCCCTACGGTTGAACAAAAATCTCTACGAATGCGATTCGTTTTACGCGGGAAGGACAAATTAACAAGAAGAATAATCAATTACAGTTCTAAATCAATTTTATCGCGCATGGCTTGGCGCGTGGTATCAATACCGTTTAAATGGCCCAATTGGCGAATTCGTTTAAAAGATGGAAATATCGGCAAATGTATCATGCGTAATCTCATTGGCAACAAACGGCGTTTTATGACTCATTTTATACCGCCGCGGGTCTCTGATGATCCCGTGTATCGTAATTTTCGCACCGCGCTGTTATTGCATTTATAAATCTATAAGAGATACTTCTTCGTTACAGCACTTAATCACGGTACGCCTTTATGATGGATAGCTAAAATATAACTTGGACTTTGGGCCAGCGCGCGATATGTAATGGTGGGAGTTTTACTTCCGGATGCGGAAAACAACGAAAAAAAAAGTACGCATCCGAGTGAAACCGAATTTCATCGCGCGGATGCGTAGCCGTAGTTCGTCAAAACGACGCGTCCTCCTACCCATGCGTGGAGTGAAATCAAAACGACCCGACGCGTCCCCGTTTTGTCCCTCCTTTCTATTTCGCTCGTTTACGAGCAAAAGTCGTTTGCGCCAATTTGATTTATCCTTCGTCCCTCTTTTTTTTTTATTTATAATTCTATCGAACTTTCGCATCGACGATCTTTATTGCCGCTAACGCGCGAGCGCCCGTCTAAATCGGGAGCTTCCGGAAAAAAACGCACACGCGGAAAGCTACGCCGCACGAGCGCCAAATCTCCTGATGCCTAAAGACGAAAAATATCGAGAGAGAGAGAGAGAGAGAGAGAGAGAGAGAGAGAGAGAAACCAAATAAAAATATACTCTCTAAAAGTCGATCAGTGGATTATCAGTGAAAACAGTGAATATTCACTGATTCACTGAATTATTTAGTGCTACACCTACAACTGTTTTCAGTGATAATGCACTGACTGACTTTTAGAGAGTACATAGTTGAAATGTACAATAAGCATTCATTGTACACTCACCATTAGCATCGATTCCCATGGCATCCATCGAATTGGTAATGGAGGACGTCCTTCGACACGGAAGTAATCCGCCGCATACGCGCTCCGTCCGCTGCCCAAATCAGATACTTTAATCGTGCATCCGCGACACACGATACAATTCCTGCAAAAAACATTGAAAAACATTCGCCTCTTAATTTTCTGCGAAGCCCCTTTCTCACCCCGCCGTGTAACATATCCCGAAATATTTCCATCTCGCGAATTTTGAAACTGAAAAACAATAGAATTATTTTTTGATCAAATTAACACTTCCATTCTTTTTATTAACGCCGGCCATGAGATTTCTGCTAACTGTACAACTGTGCAATATTCTATCGGCTCGTATCGAGTATTCGGCTAAATGAATATGTGTTTGTGCATTCTATTTTTTACATTCTGCACGTGGCAGCCGTATCAAAAACAAACAGACTAGTTTATCGAAATATCGTACAAGCATAACTAAACATTAGTTTTCCAGTTTATCATTTTTTTTCTTGTACAGTTGAAAAAAAGATTTTAAATTAATACTTTTTACTTTGGTTTTATGTCTAGTTGCGTACAATTGTGTACAGTTATATAAATATATTTTACCTTTTAATACACACATTAAAACAAAGCTCCGCTGTAAAATAATCGGAAAATAAAAGAGGCGATGTGAAATATTAGGGAATAAGCTGTTCAGTAATTAACAGATAAATTTCCTTAATAAAACACGATGGCTGATGTGCGAAATCCTATCTTGTTTGCGAGCTCGTGGGAGCACGTGTTTGAGCAGCTCACGGTGGATTCGTTGCGAGCATGTCGAAAACGCCGGTCGTTCCAAGTTCCGCGCTGATTTGCGCGTAAACCTCGTCGTTTATCGCGCACCACGGGTAAAGGGGTGATTCGTGGAGCGAGGGGATGGTTCGCACAGTACCTGCTACCACGCTTTTATTTTACGCGCACCGGTTGTCAACGTCTGCGCGCTCTGCCTGATTTGCCGGCAAGTTTTTCTACTTCTGGCACCGTGGAAATCTTGCCTCTCGATTTCTCTCTCGTTCCTCCAGGCGCATTTCAATGCAACCGTGCTCTCTCGCGATTTTTCCAATCGCCCCGAGATCGCGCGAATCCACGTAATTTTGATTACGCACACGCACGTCTACGTTGCCGATTAAAATTCTGGGAAAAAAGTGCGTCTTCCCGCGCACAAAAAATATTCGGGGAAGCAAAAATGACAAACGATATCGCGTATCTATGCAAAATGGACACGAGAAATCTGCGAGGTTCTAAGCAGGCGTGTGATACTTGGATTTGTGCGACGCGAACAAAGAAATCGATTTATCATTCTGGACTCATTATTCCCGACTCCGTTCCTCTTCCGCCATTAGCATAATTCTCAGATATGGTATCCGCCGTTAAATCCTAATAGTAGAGCTATTCGCCCGTTGCCACCGTCGCCGTTAGAATTTAGCCCTGAACCCAAATTCTATAAATCACGAATAAATTTCACCCCTTTCGTCTAGCTTCTTGTACCCTCGCTACTGTCGCGACAACGATCGCGCCACGGGGCATGATAATTAAGGTTTACGATTAGAGTTAATAATTCGAACACACGGCCCAAACCCTTCCGGCCGTGCCTATCTCGGCTCCCCCGCTTTTAATAGCTCTACGATATTGGTTGCCGTGCCGCGCTGCCGGCGCTGTCGGGCTTCAAGAGTTTCCAAATCGCGTGGAGGGTGGAAAAGGTCTACGGGCAGGCGGGAACGGTTATGTATATGGAAAGGGAATGAGACGCGATAAAACAATCGGCTGCCGACTAATAAAGCAATTCCATGCCGTAATGCCCGGAGGCAGGCTCGTACGTTTACAAAAAGATCGAGTGGAGTGTGCATATCTGTTTGTTTGCTTGATGTGCACGAAACGATTTCGTCTAGCGATCCCCGCGAATCGCTGCGGACAAATTAAAGCGTTCTTCTGCAAGCGAAATTAAGATCGGCGAAATTTAATGGATTCCCAATCGAGGGCAGTGCTGCAGCTATGATCGAACACACTTCGACCGATCCCGCAATTTTTTCGTACCAAATTATATAATTATCGCTATATAATCTTGTAAAAATCAATACATAAAAAAAACCGTTAAGAAATCGACTGCCTCACGTTTGCTCGTGGCGTATGAAGAAAGGAATTGGCTCGTTTATTGGGGATATCATTTCGTTCTCGCTCTTGTATAAGCTTGTCGGGGGCGAAAGGAAGATTGACGGGTTCTGCAGTGCACGTATATAGTTTCGCTTTCAAGAACTGCGAACCAATAATATGGCAAACAACAGCTTGCTCATTAATGAGCAAGCCCTCAAAGCAACTTATGGGAAGCGGTGCGTGCTTACCTTGTGGCGAGATCCCGATGCACGAAGTCCATTTCCTCGAGATACTTCATACCGGATGCTATTTGCGCGGCCATGTAAACCAATGTGCCGAAACTGCAACACGAAGAACGGAGGGGGGTCGGTTACGTCGTGAAGTTTACTCGGAGAAACTCCTCAGTATACATAGAGGCGTTTGTAGCAAGCAACGCCACAAACAGCGGACACTCGACCGTACCAACTCAGCCGTGCTCGGGCAACATTTTTGACGCAAGTGAAATAAGATATTCCCGTTACTCGAACTACTTTACAAAAGTAAATCAAGAAGTCCGAATTAACTTGTCAAGCCCACTTCCTTCGTGAAGACACGTCTTGCCTCTCGCAACTAGGAACGGTACAAATTATTACGCAAATGAAAAGTACTTTTGAATCTTCACCATACCGGGAGTAAACGATATAGCGTGCGAGTTTATATTTAGTTACTACAATTTGTAAATTTGTAGAAAACGGAGATTAAAAAGAGAGCTACTTTTGTACACGCGGCAGACTTGTTTCCGCATTATTTCTATTTTCAGCAAAATTGAATTTGAAAATCGGACGTACGCGTTAGTTACGATCTAGCGTTAGCGTTCGTTCGCATTCGCCGAGGACGGTGGTAGCTAGGTATTACGTTTTTACTATTTACGCTTGTAGGATGCAAACCATTTACATTGAAACGGCTCTGCGTGCTATTTCTGCGAGAGATACGCCGATAGAGTCGTTTCGACGGTAGCGTGTTGTCCTTAACGATGGTACGACTATAAACGTAGGACAATAATACGTACAAGAATTGCAAGAAAAATCCATATCTGATTCCTTGGTGCGTTAATATATTTTTATCTATGCTGGCCGTAACGAATAAACGTTCGTTTAAAAAATCGGAATATTCGAGCTCGCTGTATACATTAGAAGACATTAGAATACGAAAATGATGTTTAATCGAAAGCAGCACAATATTCTTCCTTCATATTGAAAATATGATTTTGTACATGATCTGCCTTGTGTTACGAAGCAACGTAAGGCATTGATTATACTTGGACTTAATTAACGCATACATAGTCTATACGCTGAAACAAAAGTGAATTTTCCATACGTACGATGTGCCTGTGATATCGCGCCGTGTAAAAATTTTCCGGGCGACTCAGCGTCGCGATTCTTAAAGCTTCATTTGCGACGTCGGCGAAATGCAATTCGGTTACCGGCATAGAAGGCGGTCGGTACTGAAAGCTCGGCTATTCTGTTGGTCCTGGATATTGGATTCGTTCGTGCGACAAACTGATTGCAGTTAAAACGGCGGACTCGCGGAAATAAATGAAAACGATTTCGTTTATGAACGACGGTACATATGTCGGCAATTTAATTAACTGCTTTGGGAATACTGCCGTAGGTGTGGCTATTAAGCGCAAGTTGAAACGCACGACAGCGCACTTAAAGTTGCACGTACGTTGCACGGTTCGCGCGAGCGATCAGATCTTCTTCCGGATCTCTCGATTGATTGCCAAAAATGATCGTGATAAATATCAGTTCTGTTTCGTATCTTGACGCGTACATACATGGAGGGAATTTTCTCTTAAAATTTATCCGGAAAATGTAATCGTCGGGGCAACATGGCATTTCGAACAAGTTTACGAGAGGTTTCTAAAATTACCAGTAAAATGTGTGGTGAAATTTCGAAAAACTGTCACAAAGTTGTTCAAAATGCCACGTCGTTCCACGATTACATGATTTTTCGGATAGATTTTAAAAGAAAATTCTCTCTGTGTAGTGTTAAAAATGAAAAAAAGAGACACAAATCAATTTGCAAGTGATACGAGATGAAAAGTCGTGAGATATAGCGTAAGAATAGACCGAGCGTATCCCTGGCAGTGAAGGCAGATCAGGTAGAAAAAAAATAGATAATAGATACGGTGTCAGCGCAGTGAGGTATGCACGTGATGTGACATATACAAACATAAAGTATGAACATGTGTACAAATTATCACACGCCTAATTGCAGGGTTGGGAAGTAACTCGTTACTTGTAACGAAGTTATAGTTACTTTTTTTTGTAACTCTAACTTACCTTCGTTACTTTCTCTCCGTCTGTAACTGTAACTCAACTCAGTAACACTTTTTCGATAACTAGTAACATTAATAGTCACTTTATATATTTTTTAAACCTCTACAGATCGCATTAGGTCTTGCATTTGCACATAAACGCTTTTATCGACACTTTATATTATAATTCAAGCGCAGATTTGATAGCTTTATTTTCATTGGAAGAAAGTGACTGCAAAGTAACGATTCGTTACTGTTTGAGTAACTGTAACTGTAACGCGTTACTTTTCAGAATTGGTAACTTGTGCCTATAACTAGTTACATTTTTTTAGAAAAAAGAACTGTAACTAGATACTTTTTTAAAGTAACTTCCAACCCTGCCTAATTGTCTCCTCATTCGTTTTTTACACCCTCCCACTTCTCGTTAGAGAAAAGAAAGGTGCACGGTATCTATTGTCAGTCTCTACTCAATCTTCAGATTTCAGGCCTCACGCTCGGTCTATTCTTACGCTACGCCCGTGGGTGTAACCGTTGTTTTTACTATTGCGAAATAGTAAATGGCGGCAATGCTGTTTCGCATCGCATAGGCACGAATGATTGAATATCCCGTACATCAATATTTTCCATGGTACTCAATGGGAACAAAGCGCGATCTCCGGCGGCTGCTTCATCTCGCGCGAAAGCTGAAAACGATCGTGCGGGAAAACACGCTTCGCCGACACCTGTCACGAGCACCGATGATCCTCTCCGTCGCTCACCTCTCATTTTCAGCCGATTTCTCGTATTTCGAGTACTTTCCGCGTAGTCCTGGTCATCGCGCGTTTTCACACGCCCTCCGGCCTGATTGGAACTGACGTCCTTCGCGGCGGCGACAGAATAAAATGAAAATTCGCACGATCACGTTCGACCGAGAGGCCTATCGCGGCGTTGTTCGAACGCTATCGTCGTGCATTTGTAGCAATGTAAAACGTAAACCTTATACGTATAAGCACACACATACACATAGGAATTACACCTGACGCTTTCGCGATATTGTAAAATATTAGCAGCTTCTCCCGTAAAAAATGTCGATAAACGGATTTTATTAACGTGACAATCTTGATATCCCCATTATTTTAATTAGTCCATTTGTATTAGTCGATTAATAAACATCGCGTTACAATTCGCCGTTGATTAATTGAGCGGATTTATTTTATTACTTTAAATTAATTGGATTTATTATCTGTCGATAATGTGAAGGTGATGCTACAACAGTCGCGACAACTTACGTGGAAGTACGGTGATCGTATCAACGTGAAATTTGGGGCACGCCGGAATATGGTCCATTGATTTTATGTCAAAATGGTGACGATCACATAATTGCATATCTATTTCGGATGATATGTTATTTACTTCGAGTGTCGCAATGCCGATTGGCAGTGTGCATTAAAGCGGACATCGATAATGTATCGCTTTTAAAATGATACGATGGTACCGATGTTACAAATTATTCCGCGCCGTAGTATCAAATTTGTGTTCAAATTAAATTATGTTAATTACTCAAATAACGACCGCATTCGGGATACATATGCATTTTTCGTCCTGCACCGTCCTCCGACCGTGTGCGAGCCGAATTCCCCAACGGTCTCTTAAAAACGTAACGGCGCATATATTTTTGAACGACTAGAACGGGATGTGTCCCCGCGATGATAAAGCACACGTAAACATCTAAAGTGTGAGGTAATGATCAGCGATATATTGTCAGTGAACAAATATAGAAAAATTTTATAAAGAAGTAAGGCTCGGTTGAAGCATCAATTTAAAGAATACAAGAGCTCTGAGCCGTGACAAGGTGTCTAAGTAATTTTATTCTAACATTTATTGCGAAAAATAACCCTGGCTGAGGTAAAATGTTTCGCAATAAATCTCGTAATAAAATTATTTAGACACCAACCTTGCCAGAGCTCAGAGCTCTTGTATTCTTTGAATTTACAAAAATTTTACATCGAATATCATGTACGTACACGCAACACCGTCATCCTCGCGCAGATGCTTAACGAGTTAGGGGATCCTAAAACCGCTGGCGAACTCGATCAGTGTCGATAAGATCGGAGACGGAATTAAAAACGTCAATTATCGACATTTTTAATTCCAAGTTCTACTCGGTCCGAGAAATTTATAGCCAATCAATTTGTAACGTTTGCGAAAAAGCAGCAATTTTATTAGCTACACATTGCTGAGACCGAGATTTTGGATCGAATTTTAACATCGTCAACACCATAACTTTACTGACAATCTGACAGATGTTTGGCAGACCTTTGAAATACCTCAGAAAAAGCCTGCAACTATTTCTACACGCCGTACCGCTCTTTTTCTCTTCTTCTAGACTTGGATTTCTGCACATGCGTTTGTTAGAAGTAATCTTTTTGTCTAAGCTCTTAATCTTACAATTAGTTCTAATTGCACGATATTGTTCTTATATGTCCCTGGAGTATGCTGGTCTCGCTTTGTATATATTTATTATAGAATTCTTGTATCAAGCAAATATTGTCGTCACGTGTACCAAAAAATTGATATTTTTTATTTTTTCTCGTTTTTGATATAAAGTTGACCAGCATAGTCTAGATCTTGCCGCGTACTTTAATTCCGTAAAAGAGTTTTGCATTTCAATAAAGCCAATTAAAAGATTACTTGTAACAAAGAATGTCGATAAAACAGACGGTCTTGGGATCCCCTTAATATAGCATTAGAAAAATATCGTGTTAATCTTACCTAAGCGTCTTGGCCGTGTGCAAGTTGGAAGTTTCGGCGATGTGACTCTGCAGGTATTGATTCAAATCCCCGTACTCGCCGTTTTCCAATACGATGCACATGGGATCGTCCTCGAGGCTGGCACCGAGTAGCCGCGCGACATTTCGATCGGCGAGTCGTACCAGTCTCTTTGCCTCCTGTTGAAATTCTATCCTGGAAAACACACGGAGCATCCGGAAGTAATATCTTTATAGGTGGCCGCGGCACCGAGGCGGTGGGTATTGAATACGGACGCCGGTATATACGCTGGAAGTAATGCAGATATTTCCGTTCCGGTATCGCACGCTTGTCTCTCGGAACTTTTCGCTGTCTCGCGGGGTGGTCGGAACGGGGCGGGGGAAAAAGCGACGCGAAAGTGCCAAGGGTAAAGGAGAAACCTACCCACAGGGTTATAGCTCGAGTCACGAATAAGGATAACCGCGAGTAAGAACTATCGCGACTATTGTGCTACACGTGTGAGTAAATTCCGACGAGTGCGGGCGATGTAGAACATGATAGAAACCGCCACGTCGAATGGCTTGTGGATTCGATAAGGACTCGATAAACTGTGTGAAAATCGAGACCTATATACCCTTTGAATTTTTGACACAAAATCGTCTCCTCGTATTAAAAATTATTCTATCATTGCAGCGACCAATCGGTTAATTTATTATCTCGCCGGTTGAATGATTAATTTTATCTGGCTGTAAAAAGTCGCCATGGAGACTGCGGCACAAGATAATTCCTAGTAATTTCATGATATCCGTGAAATTATAAAAAAATTTGCAAATGAACTCGCTGCCACATAGAAAGCGTGCTTTCATCTGAAGAAGTAAGCGCGAATATGTTTCGGATAAATGCGATGTATTAAAATATCGAGTTCCGTTGACGAGACACGCATTCGGGGTCTCAACCAGCACGCTTTACACAGCATATTAATTTTGGGGAAACATTTGAAAAACCATCAGTATATTTTTCGTAAAATACGCGTGCACGCGCGCGACAAGAATTATTTAATTGAAAATGTCGACGTGGAAAATGAAATCTCTTTTCACATTGAAAAATTCAATCGTCAGCCGGCGATATGTAATAGGATCGAAAAACGAAAATCTATCAGGCAGATGGGATTGATGGACTTTTTTCGGGACGGTGCGGCCGACGGGAAAGAAGAGGGCGGAGAAGAATAAAGGCCGCCGAGAACGATTGCGCGCTCTAACATGAGTTGCATCCATTTCGCGCGACAACGTGGGGTTTCGCGAGCTTTTCCCAGTCGGCAAAATGTGTTTTGTAGACAATGCCATCCGTGATCCTGTCTGCGAGGATCATCCTTTCGCCACTGCGACGACAACGCGTCGTCGGGCCAGTGAATCCGGCGCGACGCGCTCCGCTGGCCGTTCCTATCTCTATCGGCCTATTCCGAGGGGAAAAATCACAATCGTCCGACAAACAAAACGTTGTTATAACGGTATCGCGAATGCAATAAAAGGACGTCTTTTATTGGCTGGCGTAGCGCTCGTGATTGAGCTGCGAGAATCCCCGTTCATGCGTGGAATTCCAGATTTTCTCAAGTGTTTTTCCCGCAAAAGGAAAATCCACCTCGTGGCGCCTCAGACCGGTGTCGCGCGCGATATTGCACATTACGCGTAATTACGTATGACGCCGCAATTACTCGCTGCACTTTGCAATTTTTTATTTGACGTTCTCTCCCGTTTTTGCATTTTATATATTCATTATAGAGCGCGCGGAATAATTATTTTCTTCGTACAATATTACCCAATTAAGCATACTGCGTAGTATCGCTCTGTAATTAGTGGTTACTGATTTTCAAATATTCCCCTGAAAAAGCCGGGGGATGAAGCACGTACATCGCGTACGCGCTGATTCGTTAAGTAGGTCGTAATGGTGGATCTAGACGGGGACGGGATTTTCGAAAATTGCGAAACATAAATAACATCCGGGATAAACAAGATTATTGACGAATATTTCGCGTTACCGATCGCTAAATCGCGCGCGCCCCGGCGAAGAGACGCCTTTGAGTGCGGAATAGTGGTTTACGTTTCCAATTTTCTAAAGGCGAGAGAACTCGCCCGCCGCTTTATGAAAAATTACATTGACGCGGACATGCGCGTGCGAGCACGGACGAGTTATTCGATTACATGCCAATCATCGATCGCTTAAAGCCCTTCCGCATTATCCGGCCGCATCTACTTAATGCGCGTAGCGTGTCATTACATTCGGAATCACTTTGCGTCGCGTTATTGAATTACGCCGTTAACGCGGCGCTCTATAATCTATCGGAATAATTTTCTACCGTAGGACGTACATACGTACTGCTTTCGCTTTCCGTTTTTATTTGTAGGAGCGGCTGCTGCCGGAGAATCCAAGCGTTCGTGCAAAATGTACGTTTATTCAAAAGTCAATGCGCGCTTTGATCCTTTTCATACGATCGAATCCAAATGCTAAGTGATTACATTTAATTAATGCGCCGATGCAATATTGACAGTAATTGCTAGAATTCAATCGACGCCAAGTCTCACGCTATCGCATAACGGTAATATATTAAATATATCGCTGTCAAAATATTCATCCAATTGTGAGAATAGAGCGTAAAACAACGATAAGAGTTTTCGTTATAAAATATGTAATATAATTAAAAAATGTTTAAACGCGTTATTTATTATTCATCGTTTCTCGATTATTGAAAAACCGATTATTCTCCTAAAACAAATCAAGTATTCAATACCCGTGACCTTCGTCAATCTTGGAGTATAAATGGGGAAAAATGTTGTTACCTAAGAGCGTCCGACGATCCTGGTTTAAGGGATTTAACAATGACCAGATCGCTGGAGGTATTCCTGAAGACCTCGTCGTAACCGGGAAACCTGTCAACCTCGCAGAGGTGAACGTCGCCGAAGTATCCGCAGCCAAGATTTTCAACGATGTTGAGCTTTTCCCGTGGAAAATCAAGGACACACTCGGGTATTTCCTCCTCCTCCTCCGTGAGCATATCCTCCGGACTGTAGCTAGTTATGCTGCTGGAGGCTTTCGCGCTCGTCGGCGGCGGTGTACTCGGTGTCGGCGAGGGTGGCAGCGGCGGAAGGGGGCTCTATGATACGGCACACGCACGAATTCAAATTATGTCTTCTCGAATTACTGTAGTGTAATATCAATATGTCATATGAATATGCCGGGGCAAATAGTTATATGTAAATATTTGTACTTTTATTCGCCGGACGAAATTATTCGAAAAATATGAAAGAAGTATAATATTGCGAATACGAATAAATATCGCGAAATGGAATAAACATTTCTTCCTTGCTGCGCGAAGGAAAATATTCCGATAAATATTTCAATAAAAGATAATATTGGGATTCATAATCGCGATATACCTTTTTCAATACAATTTCGCCTCCCCCTTCTGTAAATTAATCAAATCTGATAATATAATCAAACAGAAATACACGCACGCTCCCCCTTGTACAACTACCGTAATCAATAACCACGCCCTTTACATTATCGCTCTATAATCTGTGTATGCCCACGAAAGATGTTTTCTTCGCGGTATAGTTATGATTGATAGTGCCCCGTTGTTTCCTCGTTTTTCGGTCATTAATCCTCATAATTCACAGGATGAAGTATTTTGCGTCGTGCATATTGTATAGAGAAAACAAGCCCGGTTGAAAACGAGATTAAGTCGGAGCCGATGTATATACATACAATACGACGACACGCGCCATTAAAATATATTTTATGCGGCGCGCGATTATCACAGCTGATAGAAATACTTGAGCACTGCCGAGCGATTATCAATAGTCCAGTGTAATCTCCATGAAGGGAAACAAAATATTCGATACCCTGCGCGAGCAACATTTCACGTTGCGCCGTAGCGGAAGTGTTACAGGTACATTTGAACTATCTCGGAGCGTAGAGAGGGAAAATTGAAAAGTCAAGCGGTATAATATTCGAATTAGCCCGGCGATTTACATAAGCCCGAGTAGCCGGTTTCGCAAGGTTGCTTCCCCTTCGGCGATCGTGACGGAGATCCGACGGTCACGAGACGGCGTTTGACACAGTTTCGCGTTCCAAGTAGCCGCGTTAATGCCAGGAGGAGGGCTTAATCGGCCGCGGATCGCATGTCTACCGTACATTTTTGCGACTCACCTTGCAGATCTCCGTACTGGCGTAATACTTTTCCGGCGGGGGCGGTATGGGCGGCGGGTTAGACGGATATTCTTGGACCGCCGGAATTGGCCTGGCAAGATTGATCGTCGAGTTAAGCAGGAGCGGAATAACCGGCTGCACCTCGTTGATCCCTGTCCGAGCGGCGGAAGGAGCGGAGAAGAATCAAGAAATTCGACAAAGTTAAAAATATAATCACGGCTAGCCGTCGACGAGAGAGAAATTGCCGCCTGCGACGCTCTCCCCGCTACTCCCGCGTTCGAGTTTCCAAGTTTCGGGAGATCGTTACCATTTTTTAACGAGACTCCGCGCGGCGCCGCGAAACTCCAACGTCATCCGACTGCAGCGAATCAAGTTCTTTCGGAAACTCGGGGGTGTAACGAGGAGAGAGGGAGAGAGAGAGAGAGTGAGAACGTCTATTTCAATTTATTACGGCACTGCCATTACGTATTGTTTCGCGCGGGTTCGCCCCGCACGATATAATTGTGACATTTGTGGACTCGCAAAATTAGTGCGACCCGTCGATGAATCACAGCGCGCTGTGCCGTTCCCGATAGTTAATTAATCAAAGACCTCAGTCTAATTCGATTAAACAAGGTCGCGCGACGCGACAAACAGTCTCTCTGCGGACTGCGGCTCCCGCTGTGTCCAGCAAGCTGTGCCAACTACGAGACGCAACGGAATAGTTTGTCGACTATTCCAACTACGTAGTGCGGCCGCGGCAAAACCAGGCGCAGAGATTCGAAACCCCGACTTGACCGTCACTCGGGACAGCCCGTTAGAATTCCCGCGATAACACGAAACTATCCATGCCGCGACGGTACGAAGTCAGCGAATACGGAAGTGGAAACGTCTTTGGCGGAATTGGATGTAACCGGGATGCCGATCAACTTTTGTTGTTGTTACCGTTGCTCGGAGACGAGAAATTTATTTCAGAATTTATCACAAATTCTATCCACGAAATAGAGAAATGGACGCGCCGACACGTTAAAAAAATATAACGCGAGAAAGTAAGAGCGAAACGTTCTTCGCGAGGTTGGCGCTGCGGATTTTAAAAGTTAAGCGTCGAGCGTCTGGCGGAGCATTGGTCCGACGCGAGTTCGACGATTGCCTTTCGCGGAAGCGATTGAACTTACAACAATTAAGAATGAAAAGAAATCTCTACGTGCGTACTTGCGCGGTGCTTTACCTTAACGAGCGTAATCCCGGCTGAAAGTGAACCGAACGGACGGAAGCCGTAGACGCGGGCGGGTAGACGCTTAAGCGTGCGACTTTTAAACATTTGGTACCAACCGGTGTAATCCGTGACGGTTTTGTGTAATTGCGGCGTCGTCGTGCTGTAGGTGGCCGGGTGATACTGCGTCGGGAGCGGGGGGCAAATTGGTCCCTTGTCCTCGCCCTCCTCCGCCACGGAGACCTGCGGTCGAATATCGAGCGTTATCATTAATGCACCTGACATTTATGCACATCGCCGATCGTGTATATCGCGCGGCAAAAGCGATGTACCCCGTCGGTTATCCTCTCCTATTTTCCCCGCCCCCCCTCCCCCTGCTCTTATTCTCCTCAGAATATTCATAGCCGACGAAACGAGGAGACACGAACGCGGGGTTGGCCCCGAGGGGGCGCGCGCGCGCGTCTGGTTATTGTGTGCCGAATACCCCGTTGGCCTACTGACTCGTTATCTATCGCCGATTGCGTAGTTTTATTTTACGGCTGCACGCTATCATAGACTGTAAAAGGTAAGCGCGCGAGCTTATTTTCGTTGCCGATAAAAAGGATAATGTCGGAATGACTCCCTCGTCGAAGTTCCATTTGTAAAGTTTCATAAACTTGCCCCCTCCCCTCAACGTCGTTCGTTTCGAGATAATTTGAATTTAAATATTACAGATGCGGCTTTCCTTATCGTTCGGAGTTGGGGTTAATTCTAAAAATCGTTAACGTATTTTCTCTGTAAATAAAACGGTATCGTTCTCGTTTGCAATAAATTAAATTTATCGCGCGCTCGCGAGAGAGAGAGAGACGGCAGCCACTGTAATGTAAAACGGGCCACAGTTTGCGTATAAGAACGAAATCTCTTTCTGTCGCAGCTGATATACGGATACGTGAGATCGCCGCCTTGGGGATGCTGGAGTGACTCTACACCTTTTGCACTTTTTGCATCATTAAGACATTTGTGTAATACACAAGTTCTGAGGCTTATGCGTATAGATCGAAAGTGTCCCACTACTCGGTCTAAATCAGAGAACAGCGTGCTACCATTAAAACTAAGTTTAGAAGCCTAAAAAGAAATCTATTCACTCAAATAAACTATAGGTTACCTAACTTATAACTTATTCTAGTGAATAGATTTTTTGTTAGGCTTCTAAACTTAGTTTCAATCATAACATGCTGTTCTCTGATTCAGCCCGAATAGTGGGACACTTAAAATCTATACGCATAAGCCTCATAATTTGTGTATAAAAAGAAATCTATTCACTCAAATGCTTTCATGAATTGACAGTTCTGGGAGGAAAAGGTGTAATAGGTGCGGAATCACTTCAACATCCCCAGGGAGATTGCAGCGGAAACTCGCCACGTCTCGAGTATCCAGGAGAAATCGCGACGTCGGTATTAACGTATCCTCGACGCCGTGGCGCAAGTTGCATTCGCGTTTCTCCATTAACGGGTTTCGTCATGGCAGCGGGCTTTCATCTAAAATGCGACGGTAAAACCGCGCGGGTGCCCACCCGTAAAGCTCTTATCTCGCGTCACTTCCTCCCGACGCCTTTATCTCGGTTCGCAAACTGTGCGAAGGTGCACGAGGGGTCTGGACGATCGAGCCCGACATGCCACCTCAGGAAATTAGCAGTTTTATTATAACAAACAATCTACTGGCGGCCCCCGGGTCCCCGGGTGGCAGCGGGTGTTTACGTCGCGGCTCCTCGTCACTTTTCTTCGCACGATAAGACAACTCGCGAGGGATCGCAGGCACACGACGGCTACCGTACGTACGTTGCGTGCCTGTGTGAGTCGCGATATAATATCCATTGATTTTTGCGCTGCTCCAGGCCGTGGGTGCCGAGGCTGACTTGCGAGCACGTAGGGGTGGGTGTTAATTTCCGTTTAGGGAACGTTAGAGGGTGCCAGACTGGTGAGATGCTGCGGCGCGGCCGTTAAGATAAGATAACCACTTAACCATCGGGATTCTACGCGAATCTCACTACTCTCGCCCTCTTTTGCACTGTCTCGCCGGCGTATACACGTACACACGTACGCGCGCGTTGTTACACCGTCCCCGCCGCCACCCCTATCTCACCCGATCGCTCGCGTTTCCAGCACGAGGGCTCGCTTCCCGCCATCGGCCTTAACCATCTAACATCTCTTTCTCCATTAGGACTATCTGAAGTCCTGTCGTGACTTCCCGTACTCTCACGCCCGGGCATTCGGAGCGATGTCGACAACTCGTTTTCGTTGATCGGACGCCGAAACGGTCGCGGCGCTACGGCGACGGTTTGGAAGTATTATTGTTGCCCGAGAGATAGTAATCCAGTTTATGGAACGGCCCTGCCTTATCGTTGTGCAAATAGTCCGCAAATCGGACACAACAACGCGATTCTTGACGCGGTAAAGGGGTCGGTCCAAATGTAAAATCGTACTCGCTAACGAGGCAATTGCTCGGGATCGATGTTGAATTACGCGGATCCGCCTGCTGAATACGCGATTGAAAACTGTTGCGCGACTCTTGACATTAACGGGGTAATGAAAAGTTTATTTTTCAATCGTCGGCCTAGCGCGAGATCTCGTTTGTACGTCACGCGTGCCTCGGTAAAGGAGAAGAGAGACGCGACAGGGAACTATTAAGAATTTATTAATATACAACGTTGTGAAAGTCACCGTTAACTAGCCTGCGATATCTAGAACAGCCTAAAATAACTCGCTTATTTTTAACGATAGAAAATAACGTTCCAAAAATAAAACAGCTTGGTATCGGATAATTTATTCATTACTTTTTTTTTCATATTGTCTAGCTTAAGCAAACACAAGAAAATAAATTTTACAAGGTTCGCGACCGGCGATATCTTTAAAATGAGTTACACGAATGTAACAGCGCAATGAACATTTTCCCTCGCGTTCGTTAAACGATATGCGTATTAATGGGACTATTAAGCTGGATTCACACCTTGGCAGAAAAACAGAAGTCCAAGCAGAACTCTCGCTGACAGTCGACAGTTTCTACTTTCTGTCAGCAGAGTGTGCTTTTTACTACCGCGAGTTCTGATTGGCCTAAGGTTGGATTTACACGTTGGCAGGAAAGCAGAAAGCAGAACAGCAGAAATCCAATCAGAACCAATCAGAACTCTCGCTGGTAGTCGACAGTTTCTATTCTACTATTCTATTCTACTTTCTGCCAGCAGAGTGTGCTGTTTATTATCAACGCGAATTCTGGTTGATTTCTGTTTTTCTGCTTTTCTGTCAAGGTGTGAATCCAGTCTTACAAAGTAATCGCGAAAAGCAGAATGAGTTTTGCGAATTTGGAAAGATGGTTCCTTTCTTACCGACTTTGACTAATTTCACAGAATCTCTCGGTGATCGCTGTTGATCGACACGGCCATAGGACGCGAAATAATACAGCGCATTTTCCTTTCACGCGCGATATATCACTCGGGCGTACAAAAGGACCCCCACGGGTCCGCGTATCCGCGATTCCTTTCGCAAATCCGGACACGTTCGATTGACCGCAGAACGGTTTTATCAACGTATCGGTCGTCCGGCATCGTCTGACCTGAAGGCAGGCTTGATTTTCTTTATGAGTTTAGTATTCCGAACGGAATATCGCCCGGCGAAATAAATTATCGGCGCTGCAGCGAAAGCTACGTGCACACGTTTCCGCGGGATTTATCGAAGTGGCGTATTTGTTTAGAGATATTGCGTGTTTGCCCGCATACTAATCGCATATCGAGTTTAACCGCGATTACGAGATCGGCAAACGATAGCGCCGAATAATCTCTTAACGAGGCAGCTGAATTAAAGGTGCGTTTGAATTGAGTGGATTATTGTCAATTTACGTGTACCAATTCCGTCAATTTTCCTCCTTCCGATACGACACAGAAATACCGTGCGTGAAATGTAATTTTAGAAGAAGAAAAAGCGACGCTCGCGCCTTACTCATCGTACGCGTGATTCGCGTGCGCGATACGCGGGTGCGTATTTAAAAAGCAAAATTTTATTACGCAAAAAAAGGATGCGCATAACAAAATGCTGGAAACTGCAATTCTCTGACGCGCGTAATGCATTTTATGTATTTATATTTATACGCAACGGTGCTCGCTATTTGTGCTACCTTGTTTTTTTTTTACTTTTTTTTTACATCCGTTTGCGCGCCGTACTAATCTGAGAAAAATGTTAAACTTGTTAATGCAGCCACTGGAAATACAAACGGTGATGCGAAAGGAGCGTGCTGGGCGTAGAGACGGAAACGAGAATCGAAATCGTGAAACGGGTTACCCGACAAATTCCGCGAAGTGCTAACGAAAAGATTCCGAGCACAAAACGATCCTCCATTAATTAGCAGCGGAGTGCTTTTTGCCATTTTCATTATCACGAGTACATCTTCGCCTCTTTTCCGCAAAGGCTACGCGACCCGTCCGGCTGTTTGCACATTTCCCAACTTTGTCCAAAAGCGTCTCCCGCGCGTTTCACTTGTTTCGTGTTTTTTTTTTATTAATTTTTCATGGCACTGACCTGCTTTTAATTAACGCATTTCCATCTTCTTTCTACTTTGGCATGTTCCGCTGCTACAAAACGTTCTATGCCCTTTGGATATTGTTATAATTATTATACCCAAAGAGCTTTAGCATTTTCAACTTGCAGCGACGCTTTTTAAACTTGCAAACAAATTTATGACAATCCTGAAGTGTCTGCACCAAAGTGCCGTTTCTTGTCCCTCCCTCCCTCCCCCCCTTTTTGTTATTGATTAAACGTCGCCGGCCCCTTCCAGCAATTTAACAGATAATTTTTCAAACTGCGAAATCTCGTACGCGGTACATTCGTATGTTCAACTCGCGGTTAGAATTACAGCGCACGAAAATCACAGAGTTTGTTGCTTTAAATTAAAATAATCTGTTTTCACTCGACTGTCTCTCGTATCGCGCCCTCTCCCTTCACTCCGAGCTAAACCCCGGTAATCGCATTACCACTTACTTTTGTACGAAGTCCCTTCCTCTAGCCCCGGCGGCCGTGCTCTTTTCGCACGAGCGCAGATACGCGTGAACGCGCGTTCACGGGGCTGCGTCGCGTTCGATAATAATAAATTCTACGGATTGAATAAAATCACGCGCGTTTGCCCGATATTGTTTGTCCGATATATTTTGCGCGCAACGATTCACGCGCCTGCCCTTAAGGCAATGTCGTAAACGGGTTATTTATTGCAATCCACTGATATATGCATAATTCAGTACAATTTGATTTGCTAATGGCCGAAGAATAGCTTGACCTGCAACACGCGGATGGACGTTTACGTAAATTAAATAATCCCGCGCAATGAAATCTGGAACAAGAATTTGCTGCATCGTAAATTCCCGGATAAGAGGGGAAAAAAAGCACAACACTTGGCGGGGCTTTAAGCGATATACTATCCCACGGAGAGTTTCCCTCCAACGTTTTAAAGCAGACCGATGGAACTGGCGTGTCAAAAAAGAGCGAGTCCTCCATCATATTCGCTCTAAATGGGATCAGGCAGATCGATATGGTGTCGTCCGCGAAACAAAGTTTGGTTTTCATACTCCGCGTTGCTCGATAAATTGTCGAGGTCTAGTGTCCTGTAAAACCGTCTTACACGCCGGACGGGGCGAAGAAAAGAGACGTGGGTCGCAGTTTCGCGACGGAACGGACGTTCGAGTGCGTCGAGACTCGATGCTGACGAGTGAAGAAAACTAATCGCGCGAAGGATGGTGTCTGCGAGCGCAAAATCGCTCGCGATCGATAACAATGAGCCGCGGTGATTAATAAATCGTAGCCCGTGGCCGTAGAGAGATTAATTAATTAAAGCGCTGATAGACGATAACACGGCATTTAGCCAACGAGAGGCAATGAATAATTATACCGCGAGTAAATTGCCGTCTATTTAATTAACGGCAGTCGGCGGATAAACAGATCTCTCGGAGAAAAATGTCGGCGTTCTCGACCTAACCCCGGGCAGCTGTATCGGCTCGGCATTCGGCCGGATTGAATGAGGCGTACGCGAAGCGAAGTGAGGACAAGCGGGAAACGTTGTTCCCTCCCGACCGTCGTATTGCTCGATAAATTGACAGCGGTTTCTACCTGGCAGACATAATCTGCCATTCTCCGGAGAACCGACGCGGGTCGCAGGTTGCACGAAGGGCAATAGGGTCATTTCGTGAAGGAGGGAAAGGCGGGAGTGGCTCGCGCAACTTGAAGACGGGACAAGTAGCAGGTGGCTAATGTCGAGAACAGGGTGGAGCGGGGGGAGGGGAGGATCGGCGAAGATGGGCAAGGAGAAGAAGGCGTTTGGGGTGTATATGACGCCGCTTAGCGGCGGGTGAACGACGAAGATAACGCACGTCTTTCTCGACGACGGCGTCGCAATACGGCCATCCCGGCAGCTCTTTTAATTAAGTGGAGTCAGCTCGACTATACCCGTGCACTCCTTCGACGGCCGGTAAAAACTTAGCTGTGGAAGATATTGGGTTGTCGAAGAATACTTTGAGTGATGTATGGTAATGGCGGGGGAGAGACTTGGTGCGCGTCCACCCGAGCCGCGCGAGGGCGAATGAAAAATATATCACGTAAATATGTTTTTGCGCTCTCTTTTCGGTCGCCATATTTACAGGCGGAGCGCACCGAGATCGAACGCGATTAATTAATTCCGCGCCGCGCATATTTGCTGAATATATGAATATTATGTTTATTTCCGTATCACAAATGCGATAGAAATTATTATTTAAATTATTATTTTCAAATTGTAAGCTCCGCTTAATAGCAGGGGAGTTCGGTAGCTTCTTGATTCCTCCAACTTTCTTTCGCCTCATTTATCATTATTAATAATGAGCCGAATGAAATATTCCGAGTGACTAATTAGTCACCTTGATAGCTAATGTCGCCATCGCGAGTCTTCAATTTATTTCGATAGGTTGTTAGCGTCGTTATTAATTGTCGACTGTCGCTCCGTACGTTTCTCCGGTTGCCTCCGTCCGTGCAAACAGTTAAGTTAGGAAAGCTTCAAGGGTTTGCAAGCTCAACTGTCTGGCACTCATTATTTCTCATCGTTCAGCAAGTCGTTAATTACTGTCTTCCGCTATATCCCGCGAAAAAGGATGGGAAAGCGCCGGAGCTGTCCATTTCTACGAACGAACTTCACTTTGCTATTAATCCGGTTAGAACAACAGTGGCTTGGTAAACATACGCCAAGTTCTCAGAGTTCTTTCTTTTCTCCGTCAGCCTCACTTTCTTCGCTCTACTCGGTCCAAGTATTAACTTTTTGCGTAACACGCTCAATTCTCTTCTAACGTTTTATTCCTCATCCTTACTTTCTCGTCTCTCACCAACGGCACTTTTATCTATAGAGATTACTTACTGCAGAATTCACTTCTTACCTTGTTACCCCGCACTAACCATCACAAATCGTCGGTCTGATTTCGCACTTAGATAACAGCGGGTTAATCAAGTAATGAAAGCTACGCGTGTACCCTTCTTCCCTCGGTTTTTCCCTCTTGGCAAATTTTTCCCCCCCGTCTCTCAACGTTATCTCGAGCAGGTGAGATTCGATCGTCGATCGATTAATTAATTTCCCGCTGTACAAAACGAGTGCGATTCCGAGGAGCGCGAGCCACCCATCGTGCATGGTAAAGAGCTGGCTTTAACGTTATAGACCATACATCGTGAAAGTCGTGCAAACTGTCCACCGGCGAGGGTAGTAAACGCGCGACGTTAATAATTCTTGTTGTTCCGTAGGACAGGAGTCGGAGCGGAATTTACGACAAAGTTAGACATTCCGCGTTAGAACGAGGTGCGAGACTGAAAACGTCTCTTTCGCCGGAGAGCGTTTTCAGCGGATTCTCCCGCCACGATGGAATGCGACGTCAGAGAAAAATAGCCTTGTCCGCGCGTGCATCGCGAGATATTTCTTGTTATTCTTCCTATTCATTCTAAGCATTGTATCGTAATGGGGGACAAAATTACGCCAAGAATTATTAGTCGGTCGTGCGTACGCAGTTTCTCCGTTGCCTTCAATCGCGCCGCACACTATTATCGGGTATGGGAACAAGATCCCGTCCTTTTAAACTGAAAATTTGTCATATATTTAAACAAGAATATAAAATAATTTTATTCAAAGTACGCCCCATTGGAGGCGACAACTTTCTTCCACCTTTCAGGTAGTAAACGGATTCCCCGAAGAAAAAAATCAGGTTCTTTCGACTCGATCTATTCATTTTTCGATACCTTCATGCGTGGACCGAAACAAGTGGAAATCCGAAAGGACAATGTCTGGTGAATACGGCGGGTGGGTCAACATTTCCCAATTCGGTCCCTCCAAGTATCTTTGGACCGGTTTCGCAACGTAGGGCCTAGCGTTATCGTGTAGCAGAACCAGCTTGTTGTGCCTATTATCCCATTCCAGCCGTTTCTCTTTTAGAATTCGGTTCAAACGTATTAACTGCAGTCGGTAACGATCCCCAGTGATGGTTTCCGATGGTTTCAGAAGCTCATAACAAATAACACCCTTCTGATCCCACCAGATGCATAACATAATTTTCGAACCGTGGATATTCCGTTTTGGAGTTAATGGATCTGGTTCACCTGGCATCACCCATGATTTCAGTCGTTTGGGGATTGTCGTAGTGAATCCATTTTTCATCGCCAGTGGCATTTCGATGCGTTTCAGCAGCTCTTTTCTTCAGAACATAATAATAGAGTAACACTTGCCGCAAATGCATCCCGTTTCGTTGGGGTAAATGTTGCCTTTTTCGACGCGAAAGAAAAAAAATTATGTTTGCGCTTCAAACGAATGTCTACTACTGCGATTTAAAGCTCACACATACACCTGCAAAGCACAAGTATAGCCGTTCCATCAAACACGAAATTAGTACCACTAACGACACCTTTCTGAAAAGGGCGAAAACTTATTCCCACACCCAATATCTCTACGTGCTTTTTTTCTTTCGTAAACGTAATTATCGTTATGACGCCAAGTAATTAACGCGTACAGGATCCACGGTTGTGTAAAGCGCGGCGGACTAGTGTAAAAGGACTCACGGATAAGAGCGCGTAACGAACAATCTCGGAGCGTCCTTTTAATCGTCCCGGCGCGATCTCGTTTGCGTCTCCACCTTAAGGAAAATATTTGATCGCCGTGTTTTCTCCTCGAGTTACGCGCGCGCGCTCTCGTATCTAAACCGACGTACGTAGGTAGGTATAAGCTGTTTTGCGCGATTGCTCAAAAGCGGCGCAAAGTGACCTGGAAGCGTAGAGTAAATAGATGTGCCTGTTCGGTTTATTAGAGCCAGAGGCGAGACTCCGGTATTAAACCAGGTCGGGGTCGGGCGAAGAAAAATCGCGACCGGAGAACAAAATCGTCGTCATTTACCAAATTGTTAGTATCGCGATAACGCGTCATCGCTGCGCAAAGGACTATCTATTGTGCCTCCGGGCTTTGATTAGTCCCAATTTTCGTCGTGTAACTTAACGATGCTTAACGATTGGAAAAGAAGCAAAATTATATATTCACATTATATTCCATTGTACAATAAAATTTTAAGATCCGTGCACAAAACCCGAGTTACACATGTGTACTTTTCTTATTTAAAAAAAAAAACATTGTTTCTCTCATCGTCGAATGTCGACCTATTATTTCAAAATTTCGATAAGACGCTGATAGATTTCATCTTAATGTCACCGGGCAAAAGAAAATGCCGTACTACGAAGTCATTTCTCTTATGTAAGTTTGTTTATAATTTACGTGATCAGAGAGAAAATGATTGTACTACAATAAACTTACTCGTTAGAGGCTTATACGTGTGAAAACATAGACAGTCTGTGACTTGATATTACGGCAATACTTAATTATACGCAGTAGTTTATCTTTATAATAACCTTGAGCTCGCCCTGGTGATCGTAGAAGTTTGACGGCGCGAGAGCAGCTTTGAGCCTACGGTTCCTATAAAAGATGAACATGATCGCCGCGAGCAGCATCACAATTACGGTCGTCAGGATGCCGATAACTAAACCGACGAACTGCTTCGATTCCGGCTCCTTGCTCTTATCTGGAACTGAGAAGGATACGTGTGTGTATGGAGTGTGTCTACCTGCTATCTATACGTATAAACGATCGGGCGTGTATGTAGTAAACAGATGCACCCGTCATGTTCGGGGATACGGAGGGAATCGATTAGCTCAACGATTAACGGTTACACCGCAAGCTCAGTGATCTTGCACATTGTCACTGGCTTAGACTGCGCTCTAGAGATAATTTACATTAATTAATCGCGACATCGATCGTAATTCCCGAGGATTCCAAGTTCCGAGGCCGGTCTTTAACGCTTAAGCGATTATTTCGTGAAATTTTTTCCTGCTTTTTTTTCTAACCGACTACTTGCCATTCATCTGAATCAAAATAATTCATTTCCTTGCTTTTCTCGTTAGGTTTCAATCGCTAGATTTTTTAGCGGCTGCTCAAAAAGCACGGTTTTTTTTCATTAAATGAAGTCTGTTAATTGAAAATATAATCAGTCTCTTTTTTTTACGATTGATAAACCTTTAGCATTGTAGATAATCGCGGCCGCTGGCTCGAATCAAGGAAATGGAATTAATGGTAACGATAGCCGCATTGATAACAAAAGAATTTTCCATTAATAATATTTCGACGCCGCCGCAGACAGCTGACCCGCGCGTGTATGTGATAGCGGATTCACTCGCCCGTGACGCTTGATGCATCAAGCAACACGACCTATCACCGTAGATAATACCGCCGAGGTAACCTCGCATAATGTACGATGGAACGATAATGATGATTGCGTTCATCACGAAGCTCGTAACTAGATCACGGTTGATCAGTGCCCGGCTGAACAAAAACAATATCCGCTGATGGCTTTCGTAGTCCACCGCAACGACCTGATCATCGCTTGAGTATTTTATAAATCAATAAACGGAGATGAAAACAATTTGATAAGACTTTTTTCCGATTGCTCGATTGGCAAGTGTTTATATAGTTTTAGTAATATTATGTGGGATCGAAGTAATTAAATAATATATTTTTCTTAACGCATGACATTAAGTCAATCGACCAATAAATAAAAAATAATTGCTAATAGCGAGAGAAGAACATTTAACTTAATACGAGTATTTCTTTGTGAAGGAAAGAGACGCACAGAGATTGAAACCAAAACCAACGGTACACGATACTATTTTTTCTATTGGGATTCAGAGTTTTCGATCATGTGACTCAAAGCTGAATCCTGATTGGCTCTCGTAAGCAATCAAGTAGGAAAAATGGTGCCGTTGGCTTAAGTTATAAACAGTAATAGAGAGTTAAATCAGGACCTATTTTGATATAAATCAATAGAAAGTAAGATGGCGAGTGTGGTCCGAGCAGGATGTAGGTAGCCGAACGGTTTGTCTAAGCTATAAACCTTCTCTGATAAAGTCTAATAAATTCTTTTCCTCGCCTTTCCTCCAAATGAAAGTATCAGGGAGAAGAGAGTTTAATTTTCCGGAAAGAGATATATCTGCGGCAAAAAATTTCATCTTGTTTCATGCTCTTTTCAACATTTCGGTCTCGCTTCTTCCGCAGACCAATTTTGGCACAATGTTGTAGAAACACTGGTCGACAAAAAAACATAATGTTATTCTTCCTGGTGTGCCGTTGAACGTTTGTTCCATTAGTTCGCAGATTATTGCCCGCGCTGGCGCACACTCGTAACCTTTCTGCGCGGTGTAATATGTAATGAGTATTAGTTATACGTCGCGCTTCAAGCGAGAAAACATAAATACCTCGTTCTGCTTTCTTGCGCTTTACCTTGGGCGAATTTAACAAGCGGACACGCAAAGAGCAGTTCGAGCAGCGTACATACAAATACAAACCTACATTAAACGAGCACGCGAGCTCGAAGCCGGCAATAGTTGTGAAGAAATTTCAGCAATTCCGACTTCGTCGCTACGTGATTGAAAAATTTTGCGCTATGCAGCGCGCGCTGCGGTACGTCAGTAGGAAGAATAAATTAGTTCGCTGTCCATCTTGGAGAATATTGAGTGCAATCAATTAGCAATAAAAGTTTCGTTAAAAATCATGATCTATTTAACAGCATCTCGACGACCGCGTAGCGACATCTCAGTCGGAGAGAAAGTTAAAGAATTAATCAGGTTAATTGCGCGGCTTTTGTGAGAACAAAAAAAAGGTATCGTTCTATTGGTTAACAAACTCGGCCAATGAACAAAAGCGACCGCTCTTTTTCTTCCGTGACGGTTTCTTTCGCAGGTAATCGAGGACGTCCCTGGGACTACTCGATGTACTTTTTCGCACAGGTCTGTCGATCTCGAGGGGTTTTCTAGCCCCATCGTCGCCGTTTTTCCATTAATTGCGGTGTAAGGACATCGCATGTCAGAAAGAGGATTTCTCTGAAGGTGCAAGTACTTGGCCTTTTCGACTTGGTGTAATTATGATTATGAAATTCGTGCTGACTATATATTATAACTCCGTGCAATCTATTTCAAATTTCTTAATAACTCTATTTAACATTTTTATTTTTTAAATATAAGTCTATTTGCGTCTATCCTCATTATTTAATTTGAGATTTTTTAACTAAACTCGGAAGTTGTAATAATATCGTTAGAAAATTATGTCAACTTGGTTCATATGTAGTTTTACGATGAGTGTGTATCGCACAAAAGATTCAAATTAACATTTTTCTATGTTGAATAAATCGCCGGTGATTATCGCGTAATGATCCCTTTTTCTCCCTCGCACAATTCCTTCGTGATATATCGAGCTCATTGTTATAAAACATGACAAGGGAAAAAAAGCTCGGTGAAAAGAGCGTCAATTACGCGGAAAATTATGAACGTAGCTTACCGGAATAACAATAGAAAAATCGGACAGTAGACTTACAGGTGTTATCTTTGCTCTCCTCCTTATTAAAAGTAGCCTTCACTTCGTCTCTCTGCAGTGGACCCTCGTTATTTTGATAGGGGCTGCCGGTCGCCAGTACAATGGCGCTCTTGTTCTTCGCCTCCTCGTCCTCGGTATTGTTCCATTCGGAGATAACTGTGCATTCAGGATTAGAGCTAATGAAATCCACGCCCATCAAGCTCGTATTAAATATTCGAGCGTAAAAACCGTGAGAAAAACACTATCGCGCAGTGAGAAAAGCGTCGTTCAGGCTAATTGAATTAATTAATAACTGGATAAAATTCTAAACCATCGATAATACACGGCTATCAGTTGCTAAAAGTGAAACTGCCGTCGTAAAATCAGTAGAGAGACGTGCAGTCGCGGATGCTCGAAAACTAGTTAAATTTCGTGCGTCTTCCTTTGACAATTTTATCGACTCGTACAAAATGTCCTTTGTGGCCACAGCGTGGACATCGAATTTCATTTGTATGCGGGATAGTTTTCTACGACATCGATCGTTTGAAAACGAACAAATATCACGACCAGAATTTAATTCGTGTCACACGCAGCTGGAATTTCCCGCTGGGCAAACTGAAAATTAGTGCCGCGGCAATTTATCGACTAATGGACACCAGAAAATATTCCAATTTTCGAGCAGTTAGACGCGGTTCGTACGCGCGATTTATAAAAAGGAAAATTAATCGAGGTCTGCGGGGGGCGCGCGAGCGAGCTCTCGGACGGCGCGGCTCGCTCGGTGGGAAAACTCGACGCCGGCGCCGAAAAGAGGGATAAGGGGGGGAGGCGCGATATATTTTCCTATCGATGTCGCGGCTCAACGAAGCATTTGTGCGACGTGAATACGAGTTATGTGGTATACAGGTGACGAGGAACATTGGTCGCCTCTGGGCCGGTCGGTCCAACTTATCGCTCGCAGTCGAGGACGGGGAGCGCCGGAGTACGTCGAATGATTAACGACGTACCCACTCCCGTGGTCGGCCCGGTGCAACGAAGCGACACGGAACTTTCGAAAGCTCGCATTACCAGAGACCGGCAGCTAAGTTCCGTCTCGGATCGTTTGAGACGGATTAAAAGAAATATTGGTGATCGATATGCGGTCCCGTCGATGTTGGATTAAGCTAGTCATTGGGTAAGTTGCCGTAACAGTTGCGTTTTGCCGCTGCGGCAACCGCGGAATCGATCTTCTTGACCGAATTTCAAGGACCATACCGATCTACGGAAGTACATTGTCTAACTGCGTCGCGTGAGAAACGCGCTAATTCCTCGAGAAAATTTACCAACTCTTTTTGTCCCTAAAAGTTGGCGAACAGAAGGGATTACAGTTTCGATCCCAGCCGCTCGCGTCTATGTTTAACGAATCTTTAAGGCTCTCTTAAATAAGCTTCGATGTAATCGTAGCTTTCCAAACTCATGAATGTTTAATAAAGTTATTTATTTTTATGTAATTCTAATTCAACGCGTTCCCCGGTCGCTATTGGTAGCGTATTCTTCGTCCCGTAATATTCTCCGCATATAAATTACCCCCTGTGTAAAGATCCGAGTTATTTTCTGTCCAAGCAAGTGAAACTATTGTTTTTTCAGAACAGCATTCGATAAGAAAATGTCACACATGCTAAAAACAATTACCAACCAATAACGTTATTCTTGCTGATGGGTTTACAAAGAAAATATTGTACCTCGAGATGTATTACCGACATACAGTCGCTCTTAAAACTGAGATAGCGCGTATTAGTAAAACTTGATAGAAAAAATTATACGTTGTACGATTCGAGGAAAAGACAGTGTGACGCAGTTTCGTGCAAATGACTTTCCAAATGAAATACGTGCAAGGTTTATGTGCCACTTGATACGGTGACAAAGAAAATCACTCGCTTCAGCGTTACGCTGCCGAAGTTATCTTTCGTGAAAGGAAAGAACACAGTGCACTGAGAGAATGATTAACGACGGCTTCGCTCGTCTGGTTCGTGCAACATTCCGGCTTTTCGAGACAAAACTTTTTGAGAGTATATACTCCAATGTGTGTGTGAGTGTGTGCGTGTGCGTGTGCGTGTGCGTGTGTGTATGCGGTAAGTAAGTTTCGTTTCCGGTCCGCGGCCACGTGCTCTCATTCGCACAACGTGCCATGGATACTTCTGCTTTTTGCTTTCCACGGTGCTTTAAAGTCGAGCTCGCAACAACGTAGGACTAAACGATTTCAAAAACTTTAAATGTTTCACACTGTCTTTTGTCCGGGATACGACGCCGTTGTCTGAGCAATTCTGAGAAACATTTGCCCTTAAGGTGGCTCCTGCATAAACCGACCAAAGGTAGAAAAAATTGAAATTTAAGTATGGTGTAGTTGTAAGTTTTATCTATCAGTGAAATTTCAGACCCGGTTGCCGATGAAATAAAAGAAAGAAACAATGTTTACAGTTCTAATTCTTAATATCTCAGTAAACCAAGTACCAAGTAACAGTTACATAACATCTTTATTATAATTTCCTACTCAATAAGATAAATGTAATATAACATCCGTTTTATATACACAAGATGAACATAATTTCCTACTCAACAAGATAAATGTAATTTTCTATTCAACAAGATAAATATACTTTCCTACTCAAAAGATACAATTTTTTCAGGAAATTTGACAGCTGTTTGAGACTTGACAACTTCACATATTTTTAAATATGTTTCTAAATGTGCATATATAACCTAGCATATCAATGCATTTGATCGATAATGCATTAAGTGATATCTTTTTATGAAAAATCATATAAATTTACAAAAATAAACAGGGCCCCGCCAAAGCACACACTAACCGCTCCTTCATGCAGGTGCCACCTTAACTGATACTTTTTATGAAAAAAGTCGCATGGATTTATAAAAATAAAAGAGGCCCCATAAAAACACCCATACTAGCCGCTTTGTGCAGGAGCCCACCTTAACGCTGGTCATACGTCGCGCTTATCTCGTCAAGAAATCCGTCTAATAAGGAAGAGGAGTGGAATAATAGAAAAGGAATTTGTTCTCGCGTTTACAAAAGCTGTGCCTGTATACGAACAGTAATAAAGTGCATTTTAGCATCGCGATATCTCTTAGATGCTCCTCCCCTCTCGTTACTTCCGTTTAATCAATATTTGTTTATATTAAATATTTTTTACAGCCACGTTCCGGGGCGCAGTGAGATTCTCGGGAAAATAAGTTTACCTTTATATCAGTTTTATAGTTGTACTTATCTGCCGCGCGCATTTTTCCCGAAACTACGCCACCGCCGGAATAATTTTTCTCTCCGAGCGCTCGGCGCGCACGAGCTCCCGGACGATTTTCTTTCCGCCGTCCGCAGTATCGCCGCGCTCATATCTTCGTCGAAAGTATGTCACTTAAAATTGGAAATCGCGCCGAATCGCGCGGCCGTGATAAGACGCGCCTCGAAACCGTTCTATTTCTGGATTTTCAATTTTCTGGACCGCCTACTTTGATTTTTCCGTTTAACTAAAAGCGCGTCTATAAACGCGCGGGGTAGAGGACCGGGTGCCAGACGATGTTTCAGCTTCGCCATTACTCTCGGTCGTTCCGAGAGGCGACGCGACGCGACGTGGAGAGCGCGCGCGCGCGAGTGTTGCCGAAAGTAACACCCGGAAGATAAATTTCGACGGCGCGCGGGATGGCACGGTGGTAGAAGAGGGTGGGATCGATCTCTCTCTTACCTGATTCGAAGATTACTTCGCTGAGCATGATCCACCGCGCGGCGAAGTAGAGCTGCAACTTGAGGAAACGGCCGGCGCGCGAATGCAGCTTTATGGTGACCTCGCGCGCCTGCTCGAGCACCAGATCGGGTATGTAAGAGAAATGGACAGGCTCGCCGGTAAACTGGTTGCCACCTGTGCCGAGGTAGACCTTCGCGTAGGAGAAGACCTGCGAGGGCAGAGCATAGAGATCGTGTGTACGTGCGAGCGATTGGACGGCGCTCGAACGAGGTGGAAACAGTCCGCGCGCGCGATCGTATCGCTTCCTCGCCCCGAGGAGGAGGTGTCGCAAGACGAACGTTCATATCGCCCGTAAAGTCGAATTAGATGGGGCCGATATAGCCCAAGTATTGTTATATAGCGGCGTATTGTTATATATAGTGCGCCCCGCTCGTAATTCGTTTTAGAGAGATAAGCCGCGCGGATGGAAATAATTCGGCGAGAGTGCACGGCATTGAGAAATCCGCTATCGGTGAAAGCGCTAAGCTCGCGAACAGGCGGCGCGCGGCTGCGAGAATCGCTCTGTAAATCGCGAGGAAAATGTTTTTAAAACCGCGTAAAAGCGCGGAGACATCGGCGAATGTGTGATCGTGAAATTTACGGTAGTTCCCGGAAGCTCGTAACTCCCGAAATAATAGCGGTAACGGGCGCGAACGGCCGATACCTGCACGTCCTTCGAGAAGACATTGTTCATGTGTAGGTGTATGGCAGTGAAGTTCCTCGAGTAGTCGAACTCGAAAGTTATTTCCACGGGGCGTCCGAGCATGTTGGGTGTGTCGTTTCGCCAGCCGACCCATTCGTACCCTGGAACACAAACCAATCATTTCTCACAGCGCCGCATCCTCTCAAGAATCTTGAAAAAAATATGCGGAAGATCCCAAAGCCGCTGGCAGACTCTATTACATAATAACAAACGGATATATCCGATCAAATTGTATATCCGATGAAAAATATGATCGGTTTTTTCGATCAAATTTCATCGGTACCTGCATCCGCATCTCATCGGATAAATTTTATCGGATGTACCCATTATTTAATCGGAAAACGTAATCGGCAAAATTAACCATCGGAAACACTAATTGGTTTATCCGATGGAAATTTTTCTCAGTGTAAAAATCTACCTGCGTTAGTAAGATATTGTTTTGAATGAAGCGCGAATCTCCTTTTAACAAAAAATTTATTATGATCAAATGTCGGTAAAAAAAAAAACTAATTCCACATGGTGAATAGTCGCGTATATTCATGTGCGCAATGTTTTACACGTTATTTCTATATGTTGTGCCTTTTGATATTTAACAATAATTAAAGGTTCGCGTGTATCAAATTCATCTTTCACGTACGGGGAGAACGTATCCAATAAAAATTGTGACCTACATGTGTCACATAGAAAGGCTTCGATATACACGTTTGAATTAAAAAAAAAAAGTTTTATGTTGCGGGTTGTATGATACGGTAAACCATTTATAGGTGCGGTGCACGCACCTATAAACAAGACAATAAAAATCTGTAACGCGAATAGTGGACAATTCGTGCGTGACATCGAATTTATTTGAATGTAGCGTAAACGGAAAACATATGCATGAAAAACAAATTTTTACATTCCTATGATAAATACAATGCCGTGTGTACGTATGCGCCCCCGAATACGCAATAAGAGACGCGAGAATTTTCGAACGCCACAGCTTGTTAATGTTTAAATTCCAATTAGGGAATAAATAGATCGCGCAAAGTTGCCAGCCAGAGAAAGAGCAGAAGTAAAAGATTTTATTTGTCCCGTAAAAACCTAATAAAGACTGATTTTCAATGAGGTAATGTCAAAAGAAGTTTCGTATAACTTAAAGTCTTTGGAGGGAGCGCCGTTGCTGGCTGCGCTGCCGTTTTACAACCAAGATAATTTAATATAGATAACTCGGTAACTTAAATAATTTGCAAGCACGTGACCTTCGCAGTTTTCTTGGGATTTAAAGACGTTTCCCGTTACATAACGCCGCCAGAAGCCGTGCAGGAGTGTTCGCTTAATAGAATTTAAATTACCCGTTTCAGATTCGCAAGTTAAGCTCTCGCGTGGGACTCGTATGCTTCCTCGAAACGTTAATTACGTTTCGAGTTTGTTTTCGTGCTTTCTGTTCCTCTCGCTTCATTTCTCCCGGAAATGTTCCGCCTGGTATATAGCGGCGCGAGAAGCGTGGTACGCGATACGGAAGAGTTTCGAGCAGTGGAGCAGCCGCGACGGGTTATTGCGCGAGTCCCGCCATTAGATCCCACTATACGAGTACATGTGGAAACACACGTGTCCCGCGGGAATATGCGGATTGAAAATGGACTGCAATAACCCTAAAGCCTGGCCAGCACGGCGTGTTATGCGTTTCTCAGAAATGCTCCTGTTACCTTCAACACCGGCTCCGAAATCTCTAGCCCAGCCGCATTTTTTTCCCGCCGCGTTTCAATGTCTATACGCAAACGCCGCTTATCGCCGTTTTCATGCGTCGCGCAGTACTTGCCCGGAATTAATAATGAAAAGGTGAAAAAGAAAAAACTCGTACCTGGCCCGCTCGCGTTATTGCGGAAAAAATATACTGCGATATGGCGATTGGATTCTGGAATGTTTGGACACTTACTACTTAGCTTTTTAGAAATTCTAGATATTCAATATTCATTCATTAAACGTCATTCACTTATAGTCGCCAGTGATGATTCAAAATTAAAACAATGGACCTTTTTCTGAGGCATTAGAGCTTAGGATTTATGTATTTATATCTTGTAATATGAAAAACGATATCAAGCAGAAACATTTTTTTAAAAAGAAATATTTCAAGATTATATCGTGAAATAAATACAATGGGATATTTTTTATTTTCCACACCTACATTTATAAAAACAAAACACGTACCTATATATTGAAACCACGGATTTTGAGAATTGAAGTGCGTGCGCTTAGTAGAATTTACTTAATAATAAATTAAAACAGTTACCTTATTGTCAAGCCAACTGGCAAATTTGATTAAATTCGTTACAATGTTTCGACCTCACTTCAGGTCCTGTTCAAGCAAGAATACAAATAAGAAAACAGGAAAACTCATAGACTAGTAAGTCATCGTCGTCAGTGAAATAGAATCAGAAGATAAAAACTGGCGCACATCCAAACATTACTGATTTGATGTTCAAATCGAGTCTATGAGTTTTCCCGTTTTATAATTTACAATTTTACAATTTTACTAACGCGTACACACTCCGAATCTCTAAATCTGTGGTTTCAATATATAGGTACGTGTTTTTTCATAAATCTATGTGCGAAAAAATAGAAATATCTCATTGTATTTATTTCACAATATAATCTTTAAATATTTCTTAATTTTTATATTCTCCTGCTTGATATCATTTTTCATATTACAAAATATAAAATACAAATACATAAATCCTAAGCTCTAATGCCTCAGAAAAAAAACCCATTGCTTAAATCCCCTCTTTTATTCTTTTATCTTGGCTTCTCGATGAAATCTCCGAGAAGGCTGCGATTAAGGGAGGGGGAGGGGAGGAAAGAAGGGGTTTTCTCTAGTTCCGAGTGTTATCGCTGCCGCGTTTGAACGGAAGAGAATCGCGCGGGCTCGCCGCGGCGACGTAAGAATCTCCGAGTATATTAAAACTTAGGAGAATTTCAATCACGCAGTTTGCATTGTGCGCCCGCACGCGACTTTGTGTTTGGATTCCTGTGCGACAACTACTACGATCGTCCCTTCCGTTTTCAACAATATACCGGGTTCGCGCGGCGGCGTTATATCGCCCTGACCTATCCGCTTTCATACAGCCCCCTTCCTCCCTTAATATCGTCCCACGAGTAAATAGTTTCCAGTTTCCTGTCGTCGCCGCCTTCGGCCGCTATCTACCATCAATTCTGAACCTTCACGAGGATCGTAAGATAACCACGCTGGGCGGGTACCAACACCTACGTCGGTTGATGATTTTCCCCTTTAAAGCGTTTCGCGGAAGGGGGGGGGCGGGAACTGTATAGTTACGAGCGTACAATGCTCGTAAACCAGAAATAAGGATGACCGCGAGCTGTCAACTGCCACACGCGTTTCACCAATACTTTATTAAACTAGGGAGAAGTTTGTTGCGAGAGCGCGTTACGCCGTTTTAATCAACGTGGCTAATTATAGTGCGTTAGTTCCGTGGCGAGAGAGAAAGTTTCTCTTATGATATTCCGGGGAGAGATTTGGTAAAATTATAAATCGCTGCTGATCGCTTTTCCCCAAGTTCTTGGATACGTGTGAAAAATATAATAAACAGCTTGATACACATTTCTATAATTTCCTCCTCTTCTCGCTTCTCGAGTCTCCTCTTCTGCGCGTTTCTCAAGTATTTTTAAAAACTTCCGAATGAAGGCGTCGGCGCAAATATCGATCTCTCGAGTGAGAAATTCGTCTCGACCGCGGAAATATCGGACGACGGTGTTTTCCCGGTTTAAAGAGAGTCGGGCGAAGTTGTACGCAGTTTTGCCAGGTTTAAAAGTTTAAGAAGGCGGAAGGTACGACGGGGTGTATCCGAGTGTACTGGCGACGGCGGCGGCGGCGGCGGCGGTGAGGGTGTCTCGTGGCATAAATGGAAAGACACAAATGTATCCAGAAGGCGAGTAAACAGCGGCGACTGGTTGCAGCCTAGCTCGCGGTTCAATATAAATGTAAATTGGAACAGATTCGAGCGGGCGCTGTGGAACACGTTTGGCTCCGAAGCCCAGGCTCTTCCGCCGGCCCTCTCGGCTTTTCTAGATTCCGCTGACCCTTTCGATTTTCTCGCTTGCACACCTACACACCCCGGGGTAGACCGACGGGAAAATTTCATTTTCATTCCGGCGTACGCGCGCCCCTCGAAAACGGACGCATCTCGCACAGGCGACGACGAATATTGCGCCTGATGAATCGTTTGAAAAACCGCTTCCGTGCGCGAACACAGATCCTTCTCAATTTTGACCGTCATTTGGCTTCCTAAATAAAATCCATCCACGGGACAGTTGCTATTGATACCGCGGACGTGTTGCGGCGCATTAATCATCGCTTCATTAAATAGAGAAGAAAACTTCACGGATTGGTCCAGTCGGGGATACTGAGGAAATGAAGCAGAACGCGAGCGTCGATACGAAAAGAAGAAACGTATCGGCCTAGTAACGTGTGCTTTTGATGCGCGAAATGAAGCGTATGAAACAGCGTGTAAATTGAAAATTCATGAAATAACGAAGCGAATATGTCCGCTCTAAAGCGGAAGCTATCCGAGATATTTTAACAGAATTCTCGTCGCATATTCACATATTTCAAATTATATACGCTACGCTAGGAGGAATGCATTTCATAACAGCTACGTACAGGATGCTGACATAGTGTTTTAACGTTATTCAAGACACGCGTTATGCGCGCGCTCTTATTTCACCGCTCTCTTCTTATTTCGCCGCGTACATTAATAGGAGTGTAAGGCGTCCTGAAACACGAGCGTGATCGCTCCAAGAGGCGTGCGGATCCGCGCGTTACGAAATTACGGGAGTTACGGGGCCGCGGGCCGCTATTTAGCTCGTGGAAAGAAGTTAACGAGAAAGATAGCGTGAGATACCGACAGATTAAGAAGACTGGACGGCCGGCGGGCGGGGTATCTCGCCAAGACGGCTCTATCACGCTAATCTAGACACGATCTAGCGTCGGCGCTAATCTCGCGCCGGCACGAAGCAGCGCCTTACCCTTTCCGTAGCCGTTGTCCTCCCTGAAGTTGTCGGGACCCTTTTGCCCGTCGACAAGTTGACCAAGTCCCCCGGAGAGGTAACCCGCTTCCTCGCGGCCGTCGTACGTCCTGTCGGAAAGGTCAACCTCGGAGCCCCTCTTGATTCCTTGGGGCATGGAATACGAGACGAGACCCTCTGGAAGAATAAGGAGAAGCCCGGATATAAAGAATATATAAGCTCCTGAACTATGCATCATCACGTTGCTACGTGGTCGGGCCGTGAACGTTTTCTCCCGGCAGTACGTGATAAGATTGCGGACGGTTGCGGGTGAAGCGCGCATCGTCGGAGAGAAGTAACGAGGGTCAACGTTTTTAATCCTGGCGCCCCGACGAGGATCACCGGGATCGAAGGAGGCGTGTCGCGCGTCAACTGGACCGAAATCCCGTTTGCTTCGATTCTCCTTCGTGTCGCGGAGCTTTCGTTAAAAACGCGTCGAGCCGGGCGACTTACGTTGGAGCAAAATGTACCGCCAGATTGTCAGACGTCAATAAGCACGAATGAGTTACACGGTTTGGTACTTGGGAGGGAAATGTCGCGTCGTCACGCCCACGCCAATCGAGCATTTTTCCATTCGACGACGGTAAATTGTTTTCGCAGATTTCGGTATGAAATATGCGCAGAGAGATATGCCTCTCTCGCGCGCACTCTGCGATGTTTTTACCAATGAAACGGTCGAAAAAGACCGTTTTGATTAACCGATAAAATGAAAAATCGATTCGATTTGCGTAGCTTTTTTTCATCGATGATACTGGAAATAATAAAGTGTCGAGCGTATTTATTGTAGCCATCCATCGCAGTTTTATTGCCGTCGACGACAATAGTGATAAAAGCCCTGCCAAATGTGGGGAGCCTCTCATTACGATAATTACGGAACATAATTCCGCGCCCTCTCCCCTCTGTGTATCTTCTTTCTGCCATTTGCATGGCCTACGGTCCTTACCCGGTAATGGCCCGAACGTTTGCTAATGCCATTCGTAAGTCACAATTTATTTTGCAAGTCAATATTATTGGCAGCCTGCTGTAATTGTGCGTTTAAACGATATAACGATGGCCGGGGCTGTGCGGATGACACAGTTAGCCGCATAGTTCGTCGTGGTTGGATTAATGCAGACGCAGCTGCGGCTCACGGCCTACGGTGATCGTAAATCTACGTTAATCTCAGATTCGGGAGAGACTGACGCGTTACATCGGCGTCTTGTCAGATAGTCGGCGGAGATTGTCGATTCACGAAAATCCCAGATCAAAGTCTCGCGACGATAATGCCGATCAATTACGCACGTTTCAATTACGCAATCGTATCACCGCAAACGACATTGCCTAACGTTGATAACGTTGTTAGGATGGACTTGGTCGAGGCGCGAATTTATAAGTTACCGTTGAAGTTGTGGTCGGCCGCGGTCTCTCGTTAGAAAGTTCCGGGAAAATGAATTACGTAACCAATGTGAAATATAAAATGCATGACGACACGCAAGCGATTCCAAAGGGATTTCTACCGCTTGTTTTCAATTTTATCTTCATAAGTGCCAGCGGCAGCGTGGGTAGGTGTTGATGAAATCACATATAATTGGCTTCACTTATATATAGCGTAAAATTAATTTGTCACGGTAGCTATTAACACGGCAGAGTAGCGGCTCTCTAATTTGATAAAAAAATATCAAATTTAATCTTTTTACACGACGAATAATTTTATATATCGCATCACCATTTTGCGTTCTGCACGCTGGCGATAAAATTTTTCAGATCGGAATATTTTTTTCATTTATTTGCAAGCAGTTAAAACTGCAATGAAAAATATACGGCAAACATTACGGGGGGGGAGAGGGGCGGGGGTGAAATATGTCGATCCGACTATATTTTCGCCATCCGTGAGCGAAGTGGACAGCAAGCTGCTTGCAAATAAATAGATGCTTGAGAAACATGATAAAAAAAAAGGAATATGTCCATATATTTCACTCACCCGTCCACGAACAGCCGTAAAGCTCTATGCGCATACATACTGTGCGCATATGAGAGGTGTAAGGGATAAAGCGGATTTTTGTTGCGACTATAGGCGGATCGAAGATCTGCGCTTGTTCCGAATATGGATTGTTATTGCCCGCCAAAAGCTGCAACAGAGAAGAACACAAAACAAGTGTTAATACGCTACGCGTGCACAGACATTATCGCGGACAAAGAGAAGGTAAGAGAAATATGGGCAGTGTTACCGAGGAAAGCTGCAATTTGAATTCAACAATTTGTATCGCCGTTGCATACGATATTTTTTGCTGAAACGAGGGGTTTTTACGTTACCATGTATATACAATGGAGACGCACGGTGATATAGTTAACTTCAGTCACACCCAGATATTTCTGTTCCGGTTGAAAAGCAGGAAAACAAGCGCGCATTTCATAGCATCTGGAATAGAAGCTGTTTTTGCATTGTACGTGTTTTTTTTTTAGTTTATTATTCAGAGTATCGCGAATTTTTTATAGTATACAATTTCCCAAAAGATAGCATTGAAAAAACACGTTTTTAATTTCATTGTTACACGGTCTATGCGTGACATTTTCAAATACTTCAATTGTAGGATTTTTGTTCAAAACCTGTCTACTGTTTCAATCTCAAAATGCCATTTTAATCATATACACACGCGCGCGCGCGCGCGTAATGCGTCAATTTGTGTGTCCCAAGTGAATTTGGGGGAAGATAACGTCTACGATTTGTTCGTCACGATGCACGAAGACACCGTGGGACAGTTACGTTTAGGGACGGGACTGTCCGATGTTCATTGGAACATGTTTACAGCACTAAGAACGAATCTCACGGGCCGGAAGCGCCATTTTCCGGATCCGATTAGTAAACAATGGTCCGTCGTGAACCTCCTCTAAATGTAAATGCAAGCGTTAAATCTGGACTGGAAGCAGGCCTCCCTTTCCACCCTTCTCTCCGCGCCGTATATACATTCGCGTCTCTCATGTCGTATCGCGTCGCAGAGACGTACATAGGTCGTCGCCATCGACGAGCACGAAATTAACATTGGAATACGAACGTCAGCGCGCGTCCGAGGAAGAGATCAAGCTCGCCGATAGGATCCACCCGGTTGTTTGAGAAACAAGGTCTTAAATTCGACATATGTGTATATTACCGCGTGCACTACTGATAGACATGTTAGGGATAATAATACTGTATCTGCACCCCCGTGCTCGCTTGGAGCGCTATGTAATTCAGGAGCTGTGTCTGTATCCTGTTCTGTTTTGCATTCTGAGCATTTGGATGGATTAGCGGTTCTCATCTCCCGTTATATTCGCGTCGTAAAATTTTATCTGTAATTACAAGCTTATCTCAGCGTCCTGAAACATTGATAATACGCGACGAATAATAATATCGTTGAATAACATAGCTACGAACTACAAAGGAGATATTTTCTATTATGATATCATCAACGTTTATCATAAGAGATTATCTGATTTCTTCTCTTTTCCTGAACGTTAGGATAAAAAAGGCGACTATGGAAGTATTTTTTTAAGCTAGTCAAGAAACTGCTCTGGACAGATTGATGTATCTTATTTGCTTTTATCACATTGATTTCGTGGTATTTTGTAAAATGAATAGGACAGATTGAGCTTGATATAACTTCCCTGATGCTCACTTGTATTGAATTGTATTTGCTTTTTCACATATTGTAATAATTTGTCAAGATTATTTATCGGTCTTATTACTCATGTCAGTAATTTTATTTCTATCATTAGTTTTATTTTTATTAGCTTTTACTTTCTTCTTTTGACGAAAATTCATTCAATTATTATTTTCGCTTCTTTTCTATTTTTTTAACAAGCTCTTTGATATGTGTGCAACATAATATAAAAGATTAAAAAATGTTTACGATAATAAATTTGAAAGTGATTTCTTCCTCGCTAACAACCTTTTACTTTTCTTCCATTTGACGATCAATGCGTTGCCTAATTGTCATTCACGTTAGTACGAAGTAATCTGTATCGCTGTATAGATTATAGAATCGTGTAGAGAGCGAACATGACACGTTGGATCGTCCAAACACGCTGACCGTCGTCAACCCGGAGAGCAACGACGGGTCTGCGTTGAAATATGAATATTCGCATGATACCAGGCATGTTTCTCTCTCTCTCTCTCTCTCTCTCTCTCTCTCTCTCTCTCTCTCTCTCTCTCTCTCTCTCTCTCTGTTTCTGTCTATCTATCTACCTATCTATCTATCTCTATCTCTACACCGAAAACCGAGTGCGCGGTCTAAACACCGTGCACAAACGGAGTAGATATGACACAAACGCTAATATGCTTTATACACAGAAACGGACCGTGGTTCGAGCTGGACATCAGCGACCATTGGCCTTTGCTTTGATTTGTGTTACCGGCAGCGCCGCGATTAGAATTTCTAACCAGGAATCTGTTATTTCGCGTTAATCATATAAAGCACCAGTATCTGATGTCCACAGTCGCCGAGGTCGAAACTCAGAATATTCGTGCGGCTAATAGAGCGTCGTTGTGGAATTTCAGAATTACAGCACATGGCGGAATATTTCGCGTATTCCCTCATTTGATGATTATTTACCCTTCGTTTATTCATTTTATATACACGCGCAATCGACCCTCTCTTTTATTATCAAGTATAGCAGGCCTGCAGTACAGCGTAGACTGCGGATTAATAGGAATATTATTCCTGGCAGCGCAACGTAACAAAAATGGAATATAAATCAAGTTAAATTGATCCGAATATAATTTTTATAAGTTATCGCGCGGACAATACCGAATGTTAATAAATTCATGCTCTTAACACGTTATAGCTGTAAACGGCCGACGAAGTTGTAAACGGCACGCAAATGGAACGTGGACTCTTGAACGGTGGGCCGGCAACGGCGGGAGCGGAGTTTCCGTTATATCGGTCGTCTCGAAACGACCGCGGATGCATTACAACTGCAACTGCAACGTGCTGGAACACAAGCCAGGCCGGGGTCTACGCGATAGGAATAATTAATACACCTATATATAAGGACCGCCACGGGGTAAGAGACGCTTCTACGATATCGTCTCACCGACACATAAAATTGATGTCTACGTTAGGGCAAGTAGGATCTCCTCCCGCGCGCTTTGCCAGAGTCTATAATTTGTCGCAGCACGAAGCTGAGAATAGTTTCGATTATGGACATCTTCATATCTAAGTGACATTTCGGATAATACGTCTATGAGTAATTGAGAGACGTATGAATAGTATACAATTTCTCTCTCTTGATATTAAGTTACCTCTCGTTTTTCTTGTATACACACAACGGTGATGTATAGAGCTTTTGTTTATCCATTTAATAATTAATTTTAAAACACAGCAGACTGAAATGCTCCTTAGGCATACCTGCTGTATGAATTGAGTAAAAAATAATACCGTTTAAACGCCCCTTTATTTATTTGTTTATCGTGGAAAATGATTTTCGTGTTTTTCGCAAAAATATTGCTGGCCATATCAAAATACATTTTTAATAACTGCTGCGATTTTTCCGTGTATGACGACTATTAAATAAAACCGAAGATAAAATTTCGCGGTGTCGTGACGCTTATTGTTGAAACCCCAAAAATACTTCACTCGTAATACCGGATAATGCGATTGTGAAGTGACAGCTGTAAAAAATGTTAACGGGCGTTGTAGAAATTTTACGGGATTTCATACTGTTGTGATTATACATATATGTATATTAAATTCCACGAGTGGTACTTTTTAATTTCGGTACATCTCAACGTTAAAATTCGCATCGTATCGCGACACAATATATCGACGAGCTTTTAGGCGTGATTTTTTTATATTTATTCTTACAATTAATTCCATCGATTCCACTTGCTTATATCGCAGGACAGTCGACCTCGTTTCGCCTCGGTAATAAAAAGCGTCGCACCTTATCCTGAGATCACCTTCCACTGTAAGCGCAGAGAAACAGTCCTCAGGAGAGAACCTGAGAAGGTTAGTGGGTCGATCGAACGTATTTCGGTGCAAGACAACGAAAGAAGGAAAGTTTATGTTACGCTTGCGCGTTTATGACCATCTCGCCTCGAGTCGCTCGAGATTGTTCCGTTTTAAACGCGACCGTGCCACGTGTACGTTAAAACAATTATAGGTGTACCAACTTTGCGACCAACAATCTCTTAAAACTATAATTTTCCAGGTAAATGAGAATCGTTCCATCTACTCTCGCGGGTTTCCTTAACGTGCGCCGTAACCGCTCTATGGAAATCGTCGTAACCATCTTCCTCGACTATTTAAAAATCTACTCTGATAAGGTAGCAGAAATGTTGACGCTGCTCCAATATAGCGACGATAATTTTATTTAACGCTAATAAACTTTGCATTAGACGATTATGAAATTATAATTAAAATAATGAAAAATTATTGATATAGAAGTGGTATTAGAATCGATGCTACGCCAACTTAGGAGAGCTTTTATTAGCTCACCGAGGTCAGAAGGTCGAAGGCAGGTAACTCGGGCAGATGGCTCGTCTTACGAAGGCGAAAAAGCGGAACGGGCTTACGCGGCGCGTCCTATTTCCGCTCGCCCGGCGTGTAGGCAATTACTTCCCTGGGGCACCCTCGTGGAAAGGAGACCGCCTCTAATCTGTTTGCGGCCGAAATCAAGCTTTCTGCATTCCTCTAATGAAGACTGTTTCATTTCAGCGCCTTTAATTTCGTACTAAAGAATCATATCTCGCGTCACTTCTTTAACGTCAATGTGCGAAGTTGTCACTATTGTTTCCGCGCACCTCCCATTCACGCTTGATTGTTAGATTCGAATCTTCGAAGCTTCGTAGAAATTCTTCGAGAATTGAAGTTTTCAAATTTTTCGAAGATTCGAAGTTTCGAATTTTTGAAGTTTCAAAGTTTCGAGTTTTCTAAGTTTCGCATATTCCAAGTGAACTAATGTATTAATGAGATAGAAACAATAACAAATTTTGCAAAATTAATCGTTCTTATTATAACTGTGAACTAATTAAATGCCAACTAACTAATGTCATTATAAAGTATAAAAAAACAAACGTACTTTTTGTCGGACACATATGTGCCCATTCGCTCATAGAAACACAATTTATCGTCATCGCGAATTCATCTGCGAG